CGGGGGGAGAAACCTTTTTATCTCTATCGCGCGGAATTGTATATCGGAAATTCTAAAGATATGCTCATTTTTAAATTATTTTGCATCATTTGGTATTGAACTGAATTTTATGGTTTAAGTGCAAAGAATATGATATTTAATAAATAAAAGTAACACACAAAACTTTAAAAAAAACACCCCTTTGGACGTAATTTAAAATCTGAAACCTTTGAGATTTTCAAGTCCAAAGGGGCTTTATCCCCAAAGGACTATTGTTTTCGTTTTGCGTTAAATCACTATAAATGTTTGTTTCACTTTTCAAACTGTTGCCACCAAATGCTAGAGTCCTGCATTATATTTGAAGAAATTAAATAATGAAAAATCTGCATAAATGTTTGTATATTTCTCGCATTGTGATAAAACAAGGGTACATAGAGCCATCGAATTTTGAAGGACGTAATCCTCCTACGAATATGGGCACGTGGAAGACCAAATTTGAAATTTAAAATTTGTTTTATTATCGATTTCGGATTTTGTAAAACTTTAACGATTTTTTGATTAACAAATTCAAGGATTAAGACACAATAACACGCCGAATAAATACTAATACAGAAGTCAAACAACAAAAATCAGCGTTATACCTACAAAATTTTCACAGGACTAGTTTCGATGGTTTTACCGAACCATCATCTTCAGCTGCAAAACCGCAAATGAACAAGATAGGAAATAATGATTTGATAAGATAAGAAAGCCTGAACAAGAATAAGCAAGTGGCGCCATCTGTTGGCGAAACCAGAACTAAAACATAATTTCTCTAAAAGCCGAAGGCAAATTTGGATTGGAATTAGGATCGTTAACTAGAACAGAAAGATTTTTCTAATCTTTATGTTTTAAGTGCAAAGAACGTGATATTTAATAAATAACGGGAACAGACAAAACGTTAAAAAAACGCCCCTTTGGACGTAATTTAAAATCTGAAACCTTTCAGATTTTTTTTTTTTTTTTTTTTTTTTAATTAATTTTTTTAAAGACCAAATTGAGCGTTAGCTCAGAAGGGCTATTAATTTCGTTTCGGCATTTTGCGTCGATTCAATTTAAACGGCGAATCACTTTTGAAATTGTTGCCACCAAATATTATCGCCCTGTATTATATTTAAAGAAATTAAATAATGAAAAATCATCATAAATATATGTATGTTTCTCGCATTATGATAAAACAACGGTATCTAGAGCCATCAAATTTTGAGTAACGTCTCCACCCGAATATTGGCACCTGGAAGCCCATATTTGGAATTTGTTTTATTATCGATTTCATATTTTGTAACACTTTAAGAAATTTTTGATTAACAATTTTCAATAGTAACAATGTACGACGAAAAAAAAAAAAAATTATCTCCAGGGCGCGAGACTATGTCTTGGAAATTCTAAAGATATATTTTAAATATTTTGCGATATTGTTGTTGGATTGAAGTTTATAGAAGAACATGATATTTAATGAATAAAGGTAACACTCAAAACGTTAAAAAAAAGTCCCTTTGGGCGTAGTATAAAATCTCAAAAATTCAATTTTTTTTTTTCCCTTTTTTATTTTATTTATTTATTTTTTTATGAGGAAAATCAAATTTGACGAAAGGGTATTCTTCGCAAATGTTCGCTTGAAAGACCAGACATCTTAAGGATTTATATTGCTTAACTGAAAATGTGTTATTGAATGAACATATCTGTGCCCCATAAAAACCAGTAAATGGACTTTTACAAACTAAATTGTATTTATTATTTGTAAATCTGTCTACGTTTTGCCTTATGACGGAACTTTTCCTTTTTTTTTTTTTTTTTTTTTTTTGGGGGGGGGGGGGGGAAGAGGTCATGTAACATAAATCAAAGACTATGCACATGGGGAAAACTATCATTTAGCTTGTGAATACATTTTCTCCCAAAATCTGCAAAAGTTACATGTATTTTTTGAAAATTTTAATTTGGAATGAAAAAGAGATTATACGAAATATTTAGTCAGCAATATTTCCATCATATTGCTGACATCGAAGCTTTACTGCCTGATAGCTGTATACCCACAGCTTCTAATGATGCAGCTGCAGTTGTTCGCGTAAAATTGAGTTTTTCCTAAGGAACAGAGAATCCGCTAGGACGCGCAAGGCAGAAATTTCGTCAGTAAGTGTGTGTAGATTCTACAGATGTCTCAAAAAATTACTTTAGTGAGTCATGAAAGTTGAATTATTCAGCTATTTAAAAAATGTATTTTGTGTGCATCTGCAAAATGTATCTACATCGTATTAATGAAGAAGAACTGAACTGTGTATAAGTTTCCACTGAACCAATAACCGAACGTTAGAGATAGCGGAGTGCAGTAACTGTTGACCCAGTGAAATCATCGTTCTATTATATTTAATTTGCATTCAGATGGGAGCGAATATCATTACAAGCGCTACCAAAACTAAGCTAATCATGAGCTTTATTTACGTACGTTGTTAGTAATTATTTCTCTTTAATACATCATCGTTAATTATTAATATTGCGTTTGATTGTTTGGATGTGCAGTTTTTTCAATGATAAAAATCTTCTTAAGTCACATTTAGGCTTATTTCGTAAATTCTGAATTCATGCGCCGGTTCTTATATTACGTGCTATTTCCTTTTCGTAATATCTGCAGCTACTTTTCGTCACATCATATGTTAATTCCGATTCTGATCAAGAGCCTCAGGAAGGCGTCGGTTTCAAGAGAGAATATACGCTCTATCCTTCGCTGTACCTCTCTACGGCAGAGAATGTGAATTTAGACATTTAAACACCTGCTTGTAATACTTCAGTCTCGACGAATAATCAATTACTTGCAATCCCGGCGAACGGGCCAATGGCGGATCATATATAAAATAAGAAGAATAAAAATTTTATGTTATTTTTAACTTGAAAAAATTATTCATGAGAAGAATTTGCTGTTGCTTATCATAAAAATGCTCAAAATATAAAATACTGTAATCAAGATTGCATTGAATAAATAATACTTTATCGGAATTAAACTTTTCATTTATGCTTTGCGTTTCAAAACGCATGCAGTGGCGGAAATTCTGTACATTCATCTAACGTTGCAAACCATATACGGGAGAAATTTCTATGAAAGTTAACGGAAATGCACTTTTTACGGCCGATTTTTAAAAAACATTATTACGAAGAAAGTTTAAACTTCAATAAACGGTAATTTATGCAATGTATTTAAATCCATTACTTTATATTTTGAATGTTATCATGATAAATATCATCTAGTATCATTCATAAATAAATGTATAAGAGAGTATAATAAATTAGAATGAAAGAAAAATTAAGAAGTAGTGCATAAGTTTTTATGTTATTTCCTTAAAATATTTTTCTTGAATGAACTTTCAGTATAAAGTAACATAAAAAATAATTAAAAAAACGCCGAGATAGTTATAAAAATGTCCTCTCGTAGCTGCTGCATTTTATGGTAGTTGTGTATGTGAATAATCAGACCAATGGCACTTGGTATGAAACCAAAAAATTTAAATAAAAGAAATGCTTTGTCTTCTCTCTTTAATATGAATTTTGCTAGAAGTTTAACCTCGGTTTCTTGATAAATTTTGAGGAAAACTGCGCTTTCCGTTACCTTACGCATTCACTTTAACGTCCTGTATAATTAACAGAATTTAGGTGAGTTACCTTCTACATATTCTTCGAGACGGTGTTACTGAGACTCTCACCTTGTCTTCTCTCAGATTTCGCTGGCTGTTATTACCCGTATAATGTCTGTTTCCCCCGTGTTACTTCCTACCTCCATGGTTTGTTTATTTGATTAGGGAAGTCAAAAAGATTTTTGCCTTTCCCATAGCAGCAGGTTACGATGGCCTGAAGTTTTATGTCAGCTGCACGTAAAGTTATCTCCACTTTTTGTGAATTTCGGTCTTATTTTTCTTTAATAATAAGGATCTATTGTAATAGAAAAAAAAAAAAAAAAAAAAGAAAAAGAAAAAACTAAAAGGTTTCAGGTTTTAAATTGCGTCCAAAGGGGCGTTTTTTTAACGTTTTGTGTGTTACCTTTATTTAAAAATATCATGTTCTTTGCACTTAAACCATAAAATTCAGTTCAACAGTAATGACGGAAAATAATTTTAAAATGAGCATATTTTTAAAGCTTCCGATACACAGTTCCACGCGCTAGACATAAAGTTTTTTTTTTTTTCTTTCTTTCTTCCCCCCCCCATAGAGTGTTGCCATTGTTAGCTTTTAAATCTTTGAGTTTGTAACTCAAAAATTCGTTTAAGTTTTACAAAATAGGAAATCGATAATAAAACAAATTAAAAATTTCAGATTTGGGCTTCAGATGCCCATATTATTCCCAATAGGATTACATCATTCAAAATTGGATAGCTCTAGGTACATTTGTTTTATCACATTTGCGAGAAGCATATATACATTTATGCAGATTCTTCATTGTTTAATTTCTTCAAATATAATACAGGGCGATAGTATTTGGTGGCAAGGATTTGAAAAGTGATACAGCCTTTTAATATTTTCAACGCAAAATCGCCAAACGAAAATAATAGTCCTTCAATGACAAAGCCCCCTTTGGACTAATAACTTGTACTATTTTTCTCCTTCTCTTAGTACATACATTTTCATGGTTAAAAAATGATCCAAACAATATCAGTATTAATCTTCCAACCATATATGCAAACAAACTTTTCATACAATTAGCTGAGAATCCAACAAGCAAAGGAGGGTCAAAATCCATTCATTTCGTAAATTCCCATAGACCAGGATATTACTAATTTTATTTTATACCATAAAAATTAAACTGCAGAAAAGAGAAGGAATCTCTATCGGATATATTTCCTTTTTGGTCTTCAAGATAAAATGTTTAATTTCCTTAAAATATTTTAAATGAAGCAGAAATATAACCTTTTTTTATATATAAATTTTACTTTTAAGAATCTCATTTTTTATTGTTATTCATGTTAAATATAAAAATTATTTATGTATGTCTTTATCAGAGGCCTGCACCTGACTTTCCTGATCGTCAAGTTCCCGCTGTTGGATTGCCAGATTATGCTGTCGTTCCTGTTGTTGGCCCTCCTGTAAGTATTTATAACTTTTAATACGATCTGTATCATGTCTTCGAGAGAATTGTATCTTTACCTGAAAATATGTACTTTTAAGTATCCGCTAAAGTTTTATTTAATATTATGATTCTGTAATGAAGAAGTAATCTTAAAGTAAACTGAAAATGCGATTCCAATTATAATTGCATTTTTTAAAATTAAGAATGAAAAGTTTTATTTTGAATCTAGAACTAATCTAGGTTAAATAGCTAATGTCAATTCTTTTCATTAATTCTTAGCTTTATAGTTCTTTGTGCCATCAGTCATTTCATGAATGCAAGACTTATCTGTACTATTTATGAAGAGTTTTCTGACAAATTATGGTGTATATAAAAGTTAAAATTTCTAGTCTTATTTCATACAAAATAAACTTAAAACTACACATTTATAGCATAAGAAATGAAATCAGAAATCAGTGAAGAACTCCTGTTTGAAAATTATAACAAAAGAAAAAAGTTCAGTTGCAGTTATGAAGTAGTATGATGTCTAGCATGTATTGGTTTCTTTTTATTTTACATTGATCTGTTTTAAGTTAATCATTTAGCTGTGAGTATTGTTGAAGTTTTACATCCTAAATCCCATTCTTTTTTCAGGGCTCTGAAGGAGAACCTGGAATTCCTGGGACACCCGGAGCAAGGGTAAATTATTATTTTAATAACTTTACGTATTTCTGTAGCCCAAACTATTTTTACACTGCGAGATATGAGAGGAACTGTTGGTCGACAGACTTCTTTTATTTCGTTCTGGATATATATTTTAATAGTGGACTTGTTTATCTGACAAAGCTACGCTGTATTAAGCTGAAGACTGAATTTTTGTAACTAAAAACAACCGAATACATATCCTAGTAGCCACCAATATTATTAAAATGTCAATAAAATGTTGATAATAATATAGTCGAAAATATAAAGAAGCTGGAAAGTAATCCTATAATTCATTGCATTTTTTCATGGTATTTATTTATGAATCTGAATGAAGGAAGCAAATAAGAGAGGAAAAATTTTGATGTCTGAAACAATGCTGTATGTTTGGAATACTATGATAGGTCCGTTATTAGGTAGGACCATGAATATAGCTCAAACCGGTAAATAAAAATCAGTTGAGTAACTTGAAGAATTATGTTAAGTGATTTGTGAATATAATTGTACATATTATTTTCCACACTTGAAATTAAGTATTGAGTGTGAAAGAATGCGGAAGTATAACGAACAGATGGGAGCGGTAGATTAGTCTTAAGTAACAGAGAGTTCCGTTATGTATACAGGGTGGTCACAAAAGACTTCCCCGACGTATGAACCCCTAGCGGCGTATCCGCTCAACAAATGAAATTAACTGAACGCATGCGCTCGAGATTGCAATAATTTTAAACAATAGAGCTCTAACGATTACAATGATTACAATTACAGTGTAAAAATTTCAAAATTTTCGAACGGCAGTACCCAATTTATTCCTTCGCAGATTGATCAGCGCATTGAAAAACGATAAATGACGTTAGAAGGATACACGTGTGACGAAAATTGCCGGCGTAAAACATTTGCAAAGAAGAGATCATCATCATTCTTGATTATCTATGGTGGCGACAGCAAGTGGCCGCCGTGGGTATTATGGACGGATGAGGCACATTTCTCCCTTAGCTGGGAACGTAAACTCCAAAAACTACATTCACTGAACTGAAGAAAGCACTCACGATATACGAAGCTAAAGTGACTGTGTGGTGCGGCATCGCAAGCACATTCGTTCTCGGTCCGTACGTCTTCGAAGAGATTACTTCCACAGGTATGAAAATGTGCTCCATCACAAGTGCTCGGTATACAACAATATTTCAGAATTACATAATTCTAGTAGCGAAATGTCGTTAGTGACACTGTATGGATGGAGAAGATGGTCTCCTCCACCTATCAGTACGTGTGTTCGGCAAGTACTGCCACAGCACTTTTGGAGATAGAGTCATCTCCCGAAACTTTGCAGTTTCATGGCCACCGCAATCCCCATACCTCACTCTGATGGATTTCTGGTTCTGGAGTTATATGAAATCTAGGGTATACACATCAAATCTACAAGATTTTCAGATTTGAAAGATGCCATAAAACAAGAAGTTAAACAAATTCTTTTGTTATGTTGCGTTCGTGGTTTTTGTCAACAATCGGCCGCATGCATTGCGTTATCGTCTGCGAAGGTGGGCACTCGAGCCGTAAAAACGCTGAAAACTGGTAAATCAGTCCGAGGTTCGAATCCCGTGTACGAGCTCGCTGCATGGGCGTTTTCGTGGTCTTCCTTATGTGTAACGTGTATGCGAGATAGTTTTCCTTAGAAAGTCCTCCACAAAGGCATCTCTTCCCTTAGGCAGATAGCCCTAGTGTGCTTTGCTATAATTAAATAAACCAAAACCAAACCTCTCTTTTGTTGTCATTGTCCTTTGTAATGCTATTCTTTGCAAATATTAATGACGGCAATTTGCGTCATTTGCTTATCGTTCCAACGCCATTTATGGTTTTTCATTGCACTGATCAGTTTGCGCAGGAAAAATGTGAATGTGTCCATAAGAAAATTTCGAATTTTTATTCACTGTAACTGCAACTGTGAGAGGTCTATTGTTTTAAATCATCAGAATTTCGAGCGCTTACCTTCAAATAACAATATCTGAAATATCATATCGTTTGGTTGAGCGGATGAAGTTCTCATATATCGGGTACTTTTTTTATGACACCCTGTATATAAGAGACGTGTATGAGAATGTTGTAAATACGTGGTATAAATATAATTCCTTATTCAGTATTTAGTTGATAGCTACTTTCGCAATCGTTATAAAACTAAACCTGCGAGTTTCATTTTTAGCACAATGAGAACAAATACATACTTTTCTTAAGTTCTTTTAGCCCTGTTCAAGTAAACTTGTACAGAGTCTTACAGTTAGCACTTTTTGTGCATCCCAGATCATGTTTATATATATATATATATATTATATAAAGGAAATTCTTCATGTTATTGCTTTAAAGCAAATGTGATACTGTGGTTCCCGTGAATCATTTTAACACTAAGTTAAAATAAATTGCAATTAAATGTTTAAGTACAAGAAAAATGAAATTGTTACAAGAAAACTGACAAATAAAAAGTGAATATAAAACTCAAATCAAATTGGAAGTTAAAAAATGTTGATTAAAGTTTAAACAATCCTAAAACATTTTAACATAAGCACAAAAGTTATTTAAGACATAAGCAGAAATATAAAGAAGCGGTAAATGGTAAATTAGCCTAATTCGAATCTCATTACGGACTCTTCAGGGGAAATGCACAATGATCTTCGAATCAGGCTAATTCCATATCGCGTTTCGTCAAAACAGAAGAATTGAGACTGAACACGAAATAACTTTTTGACTATTTAACCGACAAAATAACCTATTAAAACTTAAGTCTCAATTTCTCTGCTTCATTTCCCGACGCGTCCGCTGGTTAAAAGTAAATGAGAAAGAAGTAAAACCTTTCTAACTTAAACCAAACCTTTCTCTTAACAGACTGTCAGATTGGATTAAATGCACAGTTAGCTTGTAGCTCTGTTGCCGCTCGCACGCCATTTACTTTCGCTTGTCCTTTGTCGTACTGCTAACTACGCCATTATTTAAAATGTGATGCTCTTGCGGTATGCGTATTGCGCCCATGATCATGTAATGAAAAATATGGTTTCGATACTTAGTTCGTGTCCAGCAATAAAAATTATGCTCAATTCGGCTACGTCTGTCTACAGGTCTCTCCTTCGAGTGTCTTCTTTCTAATTATGCAACAGTCTGTCCAAGTTTTTATCACACACACATACGTATATATATATATATGAGAGAGAGAGAGAGAGAGAGAGAGAGAGATAAAAGTGTGCACAAAAAGAAACATCTAATGATAATCATTAACCATATCTGTGTTCGTCACGTCCTTCCACCTCTAGCTGTAGAAGCTGTAATCGACTGGTCTTTGAAATATGATTATGAACAACGGAAAATGTGATAATTTTTAAGCTGAAAATAGCAAATTTTCTTCAACTAAATGAAACGCAAAGATTTTAGTTATTTTTGCGCATTAAATCCTTTTAAGTCAACGGGATTCCAAACGTCCAGTATTTAGTTAATTATTGCTTTACCGCTTCCTCAATGTCGAATTATTTTTCTGAAACGAATCCAGTGAATTTCATTTTCAGCAAGTGGTGAATAACTTACGTGTAGTAATTAAAATAACTGAATGGTCTTTCCAACAACTAATTTTATATAAATTAATGTATTTCCTTTTTTCCCTTTCAGTCATTATTGAAAGTTCGAACCTTTATTACCGTAGTTAACAAAATATAATATTTTTACGAACGGTGCAATGTTAATTTTTAATACCTTATAATCATTTAATAATCATAATCATACTATTAATTTCAGATTTTACGTTTTTCTTATTCTTTCTTTATTTCTTATTTTACTCAAAAGTTTCCAAGGTTATAAAATTTAATACAGCTATTGACAAATGTTACTTAAATTTGAGTGCTGATAGCTGTTTTTCACAAGCTATATACATTAAATATATCAAGATATATCAAGCAGGGGAATTACCAAGTTATGTCTTTCTTTCTTGTTTTGTCTTTTTTTTTACATTCCATTTATTAAAAAACAAAATACATATATTAAATATAGAAAGATAGAAAGTAGAAAGACAGACAGCCCTACTAGCAGGTGAATTACCCTGAGTTACGTCTTTCTTGTTCCATCTTTTTTTTTTTTTTTTTTTTCATTTATTCAAAAAGAGCTTGTAACTTTTGACAAAGACTTAATCTAGACTTCTGCATATACTGTATGATTGCGCGAATATAGCTGTACATTTATTTCCATAAACTCAAATTTCTGGAGTTTTATTAAATTTTTGCAGAGCTTGAAGTAATTTTTTTAACTGGAATTTATTCCGTATTTGAAATGTACTAAATCCTGCGCTTTTCTATTTAGGGCTTACCTGGACAACCTGGATCACACGGATCTCCTGGAGAACCCGGTCCACCAGGTCCTCCTGGGCACTTAGGAGTAAGTTTCTGTAATGTATATGTATCATTAAATGTTATTACTTGCATTATGTTCAGCTTTTCCTTTGTATAGAATTAAAGTATGCCATTTATTATTAGCATGCTATTTAATGTCACAAATGGCCGTATTTTTATTTAGATTTCGAGATAAAAGAAATAATATGATGTTGTGAAGTTATTCTATTTTTCTCTGAAAAAGGGTTTTATTTATTTGGGGGGGGGGGTAAAATAAATCTAGATTTAATTCCTTGATTTATGTAAAGATAATAGTATATTTTTACATCCCTAATTTATGCTTTATTAGACATGTAGTATTTTCCAATGAAGTTTGTAATTTTTCTAAATAACTTTTCTTACTTGAATATATGGTTACAGATTAGATTTTGTATAATTTCGATTTAATTGCAGAAGCTATAGTTAAAAACTATTTGTTTTTTGTTCGTAGCTTTTTATTATCAATTATTGTATTGTAAATATATGTTTTGGTTATTTGTAGTACGGCAATTGGTTCAACCAGCTGGCACTGCAAGGATTTTCTGGTGATAAAGGCCCTGCACCTGATGCATTTCATTTTATGCAAGCACAAGTTGTAAGATATTTTTTTTTTCTTTTCGTATTTAAGTTGGCAAATCAAGTAGAAGATTGCATTCATATTTATCAAATTTGCTGTAATCAAAATCTCACTTAGTTTTTGGACTTATAAATAAAGTGATCAAAATTTAATATTTTAAATTGGGATTTAAGTTTAACTTAAAAACCTTTATACTCTTTCAATGCACGTAATATTGATTTCTTTGCTGAGATTATAAAGTATTGTTCCTTACCACATTCAAATTGTTTATATTGTAACAAATATAGTATTCTTTTTTTTTTTCGGCATATTATTCAGCAGTTTCTTCTTATAATTTAATGTGTTCTGATAAAGCTCAATGCCATTTATTATTGTGTTCAGTGGAAAGCTAGCAATTTTTGTTTACACAATATTGGAAAAACTGAAATAATTACAATACTGTTGTTCAGTATACTCCCCATCTAGTTTATTCACTTACACTCGCCTTTAGCAAACGTGTAGATACCGTGAAAAATTTATTCTTTCTAACAGCGACTCATGCACCGCCCACCGTCATCTCGAAACTTCATTCCAAAGCGGTGGGTCGCAACTCTCATCTTCAGTAATGATACACTGCAAAAATATTTCTTTTACTGAGGAATCTCTTAACAAGCATCGACATGCCTCTCTTTTATATCAGGCGTCAAACAAACGTTATTTTCCCCATGTGTAATGTGTATACGAGCCAGCTTCCCTTAGAAAGTCCTCCACGAAGGCATCCCTCCCCTTTAGGCAGATAGCCCTCGAGGCTTTGCCATAATCACACATGCAATACAATACCAACATTAATGTCCTGTACTGATTTCACTTTCTTGTTTATGCCATTCGGTTTTCCGTATCACATTCTCTACGGCTGCGTTGTTGTCATTTATGAGTGTTAGACCCGGTCGAAGAGAATCCTTCAGACTAGGGGGCCGATCTTTTATCTTCTCATTTCATTCATTGTACAAGCTGTCCAGCCGGGGTAGTGGTTAGCTACGCTGACTGCCGTACCAAAAGGTTCGAATCCCTGAAAATGCGGGGATGTTTACAAATGTATAGTGTCTGTGCGGCATGGGGGCTCTCTAAATATGAGGCGATCCGAAAGTGCTCTCGAGAGGCTGGTAGTAGTAGGAAGAGGGGTGGGAGACCCTCCGACCCGTCCCCTGGGGTGCTTGATTCGTGGCTTAATTGCGTTCGTAATTACGACGTTAAGAAGCGCAAATAGCGTTTGTGAATAGAGAGTTAAATATTATCGCAAATAAATTAAAAACGGTTATCTTAATATTGCCTGGAAATTTTGGGATGGAAAAGAATGAAATTGCAACCAGATATGATAATTTGTCGAGTACTCTTTCGACGATAATTCAGAGGAGAGAATCAGCAGAGAAAAATTTGAAAAACAATTACAAGAACATGTTTCCTGTATATATATGATTGCGTATAAAAATGTTTAGTGCAAGATCGTGATCAAAGTTTCGCTGTTAGTGAAACGATAATATAAGAGAGAACCAGAGTTCTGCGAAAGAACTGGCTCATATCCTCGAATTTAAGGTCAGCAATAGCTGCTAACTTTTCAAAAGTAGAAGCGGCATCGTATTCAAGAAATTTTTGCGAAAATGTTTTTGTGTTGCCCTTAAAATCAGGCTACAAACACATTCTTTTTTTAATATATGTGTTATGGAAATGGACGGTGCTTAGAGAATGGTTTTAATATCTTGTTATTGCACGTTTTGTGTACGGCCCTAGAACAATGGATATAGAAATATAATTAATGGAAAATTCAATGGGAAAATATAATTATTCTGAAACGGAATGTTGTAGTAGGATATGGAAATATACGTCATTCAGATAATTATGTATCTTGCTTTAATGTATTGTTCTTGCACATGTTTTATGTACAGCCCTACAACAATCGATGCAAAAAATTAATTGATAAGTTTAGCGAGAAAATATAATAATTCTAAAACGGAATGGTTAGTAGGATTTTTTTTTTATTTGAGAATGATTTTTCAGTAATATGTAAAATTAACCAGGTAACGAGATTTTTTAATAATATATATTTGATGACATATATCTAATGCACATATTTTTATGTCACAATAGTAAATGCCTTTTAAGCTTTACTTTTCTAAATCAAATAAATTGTTTAAGGTTTGATTTCACCTTTTATTTTATTTTTTATAATGAACAATCCTTTTTTCCCTGTGCAAATCTTAGATTTTGCACTTTTATACCGCAGTATCTATCCTCGTTATTTTATTACTTTAATAATAAATTAAGCGTATAGTCAGAAATTATTTGAAAGCTAGGCATTATGTGACATTTTATTACTTAAAAGTGTTTCCAATTAGTAAATTAGTGCTAACTGAATGTTTTGAATTAGTGCTAACTGAATTCTTCTGACTGTATTAATATAACGGACATCTAAAACTATAAAGCATTAAGCATTCCAAAACTTTAATTAAATTAAATGTTTATTTGATGCAAATGTTATGCTTTAATTTTTTTACTGAATTTCTTCAAAGTATTTATATAATGCTCTAATGATTGCAGGGCCCAGTTGGACCTCGCGGTTCACCGGGACCTCCTGGCCAGCCCGTAAGTACCTTTGCTACGCGTAAATATTCCTTTTCTTGTTTCTTTGATCATTTCTTAACTTTTTGTGTAATATTTCTTAAATTTATGTTAAATTTTGAAATAAAGGGCTTTTTTATATCTTTATAATTTACATTTTAAGGAATGTAGCAAATTTTTTCTCTTCCTTCTGAAAAGAATTTTATTATTAATTTTATTATTTTCTGAAAAGAATTTTATTTTATTTCATATGTATTTATGAACTGAATTACTTTTCGGTGACTTTAGAAAAAATTTTACGTACATAAGAAATCAAATAATCTGTATTGTTTAAAATCCTGTGCGGAAAGTATCTACTTCTAAACATGCTAAAAACCTGTGCATTATAGATTTAATCCTTTTATTTTTTTCCTTGAGAAAATATCGTTTATACTGCAGTATCAAGCTAGTTAAGCTAGTTAAAGTTATGTTTGTATAATAATTTATTCACCATATTTATGCAATTTATTTTGCAACTAATCAAATTTGATTAAATACACGCACACCGAAATAGGTCAGAAACACGCAAAAAATGTCAGATTTACTAAAAAAGAAAAAAGAAAGAAAAAAAGAAACTGAGGCATTTTTAAATCAATAAAAGTGAAACAAAATGTACTATTAATAAATTAACAAAGTCAAATTTATTTCGTTCATTCATTTAACTTATAATTACTCTTCATACCATTTGCTCTGTAAAGTTATTCCAGCAGTAGCCATAATTAAATTTTTGTAATTTATTTTAAATGTTTTCTATGAAAGCTCATTTGTTAAATAGAAATTGTGAAATGTAAAATCCGTGTTACATTAATTTACCACTACTCCATAGGAATTTAAAAAGTTTTCAGAAGGGAGTTTTAAAAGACTAAATTAATTAGATATTAATCGATACACCATGGTGTATCGATTAATATCTAATTAATTTCAGACTATGAAAGATAAAAAAATAAAATAATTTTAAGGTTTTATTATGTTATTTACTTAACTGCGTATCTAGTTGCAATAATACTATAAATATGTTGAAAAATGTTCGATTCATAAGCAAATAAGTTGCAAGTTTATTATTTTTAATTTATGAATTGATCGCATTTTTATGATTCAAGAATTAAAAAATAGTTCATTTTAATTTTATATGCGAGGGAACTAAAATTTGTGTTCAAATTGAATCATGATACATAATCTTTTATGCATAACTAAATAAATATAATATATCCAAAATGTTAAAAAGTTATTGAAATTATTAATGAATTATTTTATTATTATGATATATGTGTTTAGGTTTTGTAGGCAGTGTTTAAAAAGCTATAAAGTTATTTAAAAAGTGTTTAAAAAGTTATTGAAATCATTAATGAATTGTTGCATTATTCTGATATATGTGTTTTCGATAATTTTAGGGACCTCAAGGTTTTCAAGGTATACGCGGTGAAACTGGAGATGCTGGAGCACCTGTGAGTACTCATTTTACCCTGTAAATGTAAAAAATACAGATCATATTTTTGAATTTTCAGTGAGAAATATTTTTACAACCTGTAAGATAGTACGTTGGTCTGTACGTTGTACAATGGTTTAGATTTATAAAAATGTGAGATGGGTTACCAGATTTTGAAATTATATTGTGGCAAAATTTAATAATACTTATTTTAATTTACTAAATTTTAGAATTCTGGTAAATTTAAACTTATCCTATTAATTTTAATGGATTCCTTTCTAAACCTCTGAAATGCCTTAAAATATTGTCAGCAAATAAAAGAGATAATTAAAATGTGTTTTAAGTTATTAACAAAACATTTCATAACAGATTAAAAAGTATTACTCACATTTTGTTATAGATTAGTATTATACACATCCTTTCATAAATGATTATAAAAGCTAAATTATTGGAAGGTTTGATGTGAATAAAATAAAAGATTTATGTTAAAATAGTAAAATTGTAAGGGAATTTCTTAACATATAAATTGATTTATTATTATTTGTTTCTTCTGAAACTGATAACAGTAGACTTAAAATTATAATTACATCAAGTTTTCATTCATTAAGCAATGAAAGTCTTCCCAGATCACGTTCAGTGTGCCCTTTCCTCAGTAACTTTTCTTTTCAATTATTTGTTTTTAGAAGCTATACTAAGACCATTTCACGATCTTGTATTATAAGTTTCTAATTGATTTTATCCATTTAATAATGTCATCACCATTGGTATAATTCAACATTTTGAAATCCATTGCATTGTAAGGATTAATAAGCCTTCTCTAAAACTATTAAAGGCTTAATTTAATATACGAATATAAGTTCAAGCCCAAAAGTAAGCTTAGCTGCTTATCCGAAAAATTCAAGTAGTTTTATGCCTTAAACGTTCCTACTATGCCGAGTCCCAAGTTCAAGTATGTAAAGTAAAATCATCTTTTTTAATTGCCTAGATATTTTTTGTAGAGTGTATATTTTATAATTATTAGTCATATTTATTTATTTTACTTATTGACACAAAGATCATATTGTATTAATAAAAATACAGTTACTAAACTTGAAATAAATTTTCTAGGGACCATCTGGATCTCCTGGTCCGAGAGGTTTACCTGGTCTACCTGGAAAAGATGTAAGTTTAAGATCTGTACATTTTTTGCCAATCAATTTTACGTTATAAACATTTTGTGATAAAAAATTATATTAGATGAAAGTTGTGAAACCATATTTGGGAGAAGAACAAGTAAGGACTACTGGAGATATATTTTTTTTCCCTAAATAATTCCCAACGTAGCAAATAATAGAGATGAAATATAAGTATTAAAATTCTAAATTGGAAAGATATGAAAGTATCGTTAGAAAAATTTAAATTAGTCTGGGAGCTTTAGATATTTTGTAAATTTTGTGCTTAGTATTATAAATGGAATATGCATTGACATATGCGTACATAAGTATTTATACGTGTGTGTATGTATCAGGAAAGGTAACTGATTGAAACTAATAGGAATTGAAATTTTTCTCTTGAGCTGAACTGTTTGTGCAATAATACCACAGGATTTGTGTTCAGATGGATATAATAGGTTCTCAGAGTAATGTATTGCAAATATATTCTACCCAAAAACGGAGATATGCAACACTTCTCACCACCAGCATGATCAAATGATGACTACAAGACGTTCATATGCATGTCTTTCATCTCTGCTTCATGCAATATTGTGTCTTTCATCTCTGCATCTTTTGAATGTTTTGCTATTGTACTACTGGAGATATTTTTTTCCTAAATAGTTCCAAACATAGAAAATTATAACGATGAAATACAAATATTAAAATTCTAAATTTGAAAGATATGAAAATGTTGTGAGAAAATTTAAATTAGTCTGAGAACTTTAAATATTTTGCGATTTTTGTGCTTTGTATTATAAATGCAATAAGCATTTACATATGCATACATAAATATTTATACGTGTGTGTACGTATCAGGAAAGGTAACTGAATAAACTAATAGGAACTGAAATTTTTCCACTTGAGGTGAACTGCTTGCACAATAGTACCACAGAATTAGTGTTCAGATGGATATAACAGGTTCTCAGAGAAATATATTGCAAATGTATTCTACGCCAAAAGCGGAGATATGCATTACTTGTCACCTCCTGCGCGATCAAATGATGACTACAAAAAGACGTTCATACGCATGTCTTTTATCTCTTCTTCATGCAATATTATGTTTTTCTTCTCTGCTTCCTTTGAATGTTTTACTATTGTGCGCAGTTTCATTTAATAAGTTTCTTATTTTAAGGCATAGTTTATTTCATGAAATATGCTACATTTTAATGTTAGATGAAACATTTATATGTTATAATTTTTTATCTTTTCATAATTTTAATACTTCATGTATGCTGTTAAGAGGCCTGGCTTATAATTAATGCATTCATAAACTAGGTAATACTTATCATAAATTAAACTTATTTAACCTCATTGCTACTTTATAGTTTTAAATAATCGGCTTAAAGTGGAAAAAAGTACTTAAAAATATAAAAAGTATTTTCAAAGTTATAATCTTTTCACATTTTTCTAGGGAGAGTCTGGAGAAGATGGTCGACCTGGTCCCCCCGGCCCACCGGGATCTCCGGTAAGATAATTTTTTTGATAAAACCTTAACCTGCTGAAACCCCGACCTTTTTCGCTGTGGCTAATCGCACCGACGGTCCGAATAGCCTCTATAAGGCTATTCGCACCAGCTAGCCCAGGTAGAAGCATTTTAGCCGACCTGACAGACATAAGACAGGCGGGAGCGGGAGCGAGGGTTGTTAACAGTTTCTGCTTATCTTCCTTGTATGCGATTTCTTTGTTAATTAATTTTTAGTTTGTTAAGAAAATAGTGTTATTTGTTGTCATAACTGAGTACTATGGATGTGACAAACCAAATTCTGCTTTGGTGTGTGGAAACAAGTTTCACTATTTGATTTAAAGGGCAAAAGAACTGTAGGAAAATCAAAATTTTGCTGTTTGATAAGAGAGTCGCAAAATTTCCGAAGGCATAAACACGTGAAACGGTTGCTGCAATAGTACCTTGAATGTAGAAGGACACTTCATAATGTCATCTAAAATGTTATATTCAGATCATAACGAGTTAAATCTTTATTAACATAGAATTATGAAACTTAGACCCTAGTAACTAGCATGAACTGGAGAATTTATATTCAATATAAAACTTATTGAAAATTATAATGTTCTTATATATGATCACTTTTTTAGTGTCCACACAGTAAAATCAAATGCAATTCAAACCAAAGTTATTCAGAAATAAATTATAAAATCGATCTTATTTGAGTGTGCAAATTGAATTAACTCAATTAAATATGTCTTTAAATTATATCCATTCTTATTAATTTAGTATGGTTTGTGATAATATTCAATCTTTGAAATAGTTTTTGTGCCTGAAAAGGAAGACTATTTCAAGAAAATTAAACAGGCATAAAAATGTTAATAACCAGTATATATGATTAATTGTTAATTTAATAGTTTATTTTATTGCTTATAACTTATTTCATGTCTAAATTTTCTACGTAGACATACTCTGTCTAATTTTATTACCTTTTCTCGGACGAAAAATTTCAAAGCGGCATGAACAAAAATCTTGATTGTGCAAAACACATATTTGAAGCTAAATGTATTCTAAGAAGTACAAAAAATGTAAACGAAGTTTTAGTCCCCCCCCCTCCATAATCAGTCATTTAAACTATTTCAAACGTTCAGGAGAACGAACGTCTGGAATAGTTTATGCGAACATAAAAACTGCCCTTTTCTATATATACATAAATAAAAGAAATATGTTTCTTCTTCTTATATATATAAGAAAAAGGAACACATTTCCCTTTTTAATCTTTTGAAAGTCGCTAACGCTTAAAAAATGATAAATTACGTCAAAGTAAAACCTGCCTTTTTCTTTAAAAAAAAAAAAAAAAAAAGAGACAGACTCACTACAACAGACTTGGCAGTTAGCGTACTTAGGATTCCTTCTTTTCGATTCGGTTCAAATGAGACTCAAAGCGCATGCGTAGTTAATGTTGGTGCGAATAGCTGAAGCGGCTAATCGCACCGCTGATGCGAATAGAATCGGCCAACCTTTTTGATAATTTTGCTGTGGCACTAACAGTCTATTTTCACTAAGTATCGAAATGAGTTAATTAAGTAAAATTGTTAAGGTAAAAAACTTTTGATTGTATGTATCAAACACATATTAAGACACTGACCCAGACACATTATGAAAATTTTAATTCTGTTTATCTATTCCAGTGTTAGCTGTTCATCTTTAAACATACAAAGTACAGAAAACCTGTTAACAATTTCTTCCAAAATTCTTTAAAACTCTGGAATAATCTTATTAACGATTTTAATTGTTTTGCTTAAAATTTCATTCCATGTTTTGGAACGTTACTTTTTAATCATGTTATTTTCTGAGAGAGCGTTCGGTTATTTATGAAGCTTACCAGTATGCATTCAAGGTTCACATAATCGATTAGTTATTTATTCTTACCATTAAACTATTATTGCAGATGCTTGTTCATGACAAATAAAAACTGTTTTTCTGTTTTTATAAGTGTATAAAACAATGTTTTTTCTGCTTTAAATTTTTTTTTTTTTTTTATTTCTAGTCAACTTCTTACTTGGTGATCACCAATATTATAAGTTAGTAATCATTAGGTTTATTACTTTGTCAAGTGACTCTGTCATAACACTTTCACTAAAACCAGACTTTTCATTATCTTCTTTCTGTGATTTAAAACTTTAGAAAATTTTTTGAATATTGCAAAAGCAAAAATATTTAAATTTTGTAAATGTTACAGTGTCTAACTCTATTTTCTTCATTTAATTTTCCCAACTTTTATTGTTTATTTGTCTATTATTAATTCAACTAAGCAATAAAAATTAGCGTCTTCCCTTTTAATTTTTAATCAAGTGCATTTTCTGTGAATGCCAATGAGTAATTCTCTAAGATTCTTAAATGTTTTCAAAATTCAAACAAGTCAATATACATTGCTAAAAAATTACCACATACTATAAAGTTAGTTACTTCTATAACATATGTTCAGGTTTTTATTTTTATGATGACGTTTTATTTAATCTGAGTGTTATGTAAAATCGTATAACATAGCTCTTTATCGCACATCTTCAAAAATTAATAACTGTCAGATTAAGTATATTTTAATAGAAAAGTAATTCGTTTGATAAAAATATCATTCTACATGTTCATTTTATTAAGCCGTTTATTCCATTACTGATTGGATTTATTTGATAATATCAGTGGTGAAAGCTAGCTACATTTAGCTCATGTGCTAGCTTTTGAACACTGTCAAAATGTAAGCCATTTAACCTGTTGCATACTTTATAAATTATTGGCTGAAATTAAGAATTATTAGTTTAATGAATGCAGATTTAAAGAAAAAGCTCTTTTATTTTGTTTCTTTGTATGAAAACGTATTTCTTTTTTTAGGGTCCAAGGGGTCCTCCTGGGCTTCCAGGATTGCCTGGAGCAAAAGGACATCGAGTACGTATAAAATAACTTCCTATTCTTTAAAAAAATATTTAACATTTTATCATGATTTTCCCATTATTTGTTGCTTATTTGAAAAGTAAAAGGAGTGTCTAGTAGATGCAAATTTTGTATTCTATGAATAGAATATGCAGTATTATGTTTTGAATGCCTTATAATAATTAAATATTCAAAACATAATACTGTTGCTAATACTCACTTTATTGACATTTATTACTCACATGTATTAAAAATTAAGAACCTATAAATTTACTAATGTTTTAGTATTATTACATGCAGACAGATTAAATGATTTTGCAGAATTTAAGTAATTTAAAAAATATCTGGAAGAAAAGCCTTATGACCAGCTACTAAACAAATTTACTATTCAGTGCAAACTTGGCTTATGCAAATACATTCCTTTCCTGTTTTTTACAATAAATAGCAACCAAATTATTCAGTCAATGCAGGTACTAATAGAATTCTGCTCTTACAAATTTCTATATGTTGTAACAGAATGCTGTAAAAGTTTCCATAACAGTTCATAATATGATTTCCATAGCACTTCACATTAGCTAATATTGAATCTTATTCCGTTATTAAACAATGGTCTCCACTTTTAAACTGACACTTTGCTGTGTTAAATCATAAATATATCCCTATTCAGACCATAAATGGAGCATCCTCCTCCTACGAAGTTTTACAAAATCTCAGTATTAATATCCACCACCTAGAAACTTATCAATGAAAATGATTTTCTGTACTCACAGAAGACACAAATATCGATAACGATATATTCCTTCTAAAATCGATATATTCCTTCTAAATTAAATTTTAATTATTTAGTAAAGCATTGAGAAGAAAATTGTCCAAAACTCACCTGAAAATACTATGTCTTACTTCAATAAAATTGTTTCTAAAATCTTACATCTGTATATACAAAACTTCTATTAAAATGGAAATCTTTTTAGGGTTAATTACCTTAAATGTAGTTTGTTAAATCTGCTTTTCCCATAAAATATTTTTCTCATTTATTTATTTACTACTGCAAAAAGTCATATAGAAGCACTGCACGTGCCATAATACAATATTCATAACTGTTTTTAATTCTTCAATTTCTTTTATTTTAGAGTTTTTAAAATATGGCCATATTTTTCAGGGATTTCCTGGTATAGATGGAGCTAAAGGAGAGCAAGGCACGGCTGGAGAAAAAGTATGATTTAACATTTGCAATTTTCACTAGTGTAACGCAATATTTGACTTATTTAACATTTTATAACATCAACTTTTAAAATTCGCAATTAAAGAATACTAAAATATCGGATTCTGAATTGAAACTTAATAAAAAAAAATTTTATTCTCTATAAGGTATGATATAATCATGATAATGTTTCTTAGAGATACGTTAGATATGCTTATATTTTCTGAAAAATAATTTTTTGGGATAAAAATATTTGTAAATTACTATAAATAGAAATTTATGACAAATGACTGATATTTTACTAGTAAACGTGTTTCTTTGCTCATTATGTAACTGCCTAACTTGTCGCTTTCTTTACTTCAAAAAAAAAAAAAAAAAAAAAAAAATGGCAAGGGAAAAAAAATTGTTTTGCTTTAAAAGCTTGAGGACATTTAATGTAAAGCAGTTTTTTAAGTTTCCGAGCTATTAAGATTTTTAACTATAATTTGAGAAAAATCTCAACTTACTTTACGAAATAATATTTTAATGAATTTATATTTTAGTAAATGAAAAGAGTTAACCTTTATTGGCACATTATCTGCGTTAATTATATCTGTATACTGTATTCTATTGCATAACATAAATTTCTTTTAATATTTATTTGTTGATTTAACTATCTCTTCCAGGGTATGGTAGGCACACCTGGAAAAATGGGCATTCCCGGACCAATGGTTAGTAACTTTTGATTTCTGATCAGTAAACCAAATTTAACTGTTTTATACTTTTAATTGAACTGTTTATTTATATTCCAAAATTTTAGCGAAAATTATCTCCGTCTTTATTGTTTCGTAAAATTCTTATACGCTTTATACCTGAAACATCGCAAAATTGCATATTACGCGGATGTGTACTCTGCATTTATGTAACCATCCCGCTTATATCACTTGGTTCAAAGTTTCAGGAATTATTCTCATTTGTAAATGTAGATATTGTTCATAAAGTTGTTACTGTGGTCTTCAGAAATCTGTCATGACTCACTCGGTAATTTCACAGGGTGTTAGCCGTAAAGAGATAAATATCTTATAAGAAGTACTGACATTTTAAGCTGTATAAGAAAAGCACAAATGTATGAAAAGTTTCGAAATTAGGCAACATTTGAATTTTGGCATTAATTTTACAGAACTTTGCTGTGCTACTAAAGAGAATCTAGCACAGTTTTTCGCGTTTCAAAACGCAAATATAAAATGCTAATGTAAACATTTTTCCCTTTCTTAAAAAAAAAAAAAGAAAGAAAGATTGCAGATATTTCTTACTTATAAAAACGCTTCTTTGCTTGAGAATTATGACAAGAAAATATGTTTACTAAGGTGAATTGCTTTGTAAACATATTTTCTTGCAGTAAAATAAAAGAAATAAAGAGCTTTTGAGTTGAAATTGGAAGAAAGTTATGGTAAAGGAAAAATAACTTTTTTAATCAGTTTTTTTCTTTTTTAAGGTACCATTTTGAGAAAGCCAATGAGTCATAATGGCAATTAATTGTAAATTATGACATGCATTAAAAGTCTTACATTGTATGCTTGCAAATATTATAAAATGATATCAGATATCTGAGAAGCAAGAATCTTTATGCTTAACTAAAATCCATCAAAGAAAAATCAATCATTCCAATGAAAAATACGCACAACCACCGCGGATTATTTTCAGTTCTAAGGCAAAGATAACGTAAAGTGTAATTTCTTTTACGTAATACCTCTCAGCCTATTTAAATTTAGATTGCAAAACATAATAAATAATTAAGAACACACAGCTGAGAATTAATGGAGCAAGTACGAATGAAGAGTATTTTGATAAACTTTTCTTAAGTGTGTGCATCTCCTCCTCATGACCTACCTGGCACGTGAAAAGCGTAAAATAATAATCTAATGATATAATAAATAGCTTGCGATCAACAAAATAAGACATGATCGATGGATTGTAATATCTTCATATACGGTAATGTTCTCTCCTTTGAATGATGAAACAAAACACCAGGTTTTTAGAAAACATTATTATACATGTATTAAACATGTTTTCAATAGCATTATATTAATCTGCATACAGTATAGTAGTCGGTATTTGAGGTACAACACAAATCTTTTCACACATAAAAAGCATTTATTTATAAAAAAATGTGTAACTTGTATAATTTTCGGAACTACCTAAAAATTATATAAACATAAAAACGTGAAACTACATAAAAATTGTAGTTTTACTGTAGTTATAAGATAGAATAAGACCGCATTTGTTTTGACTGTAGGTATATAAAAAAAGAATTTTACTATTCCAAATTATGTAAAATTCACATTTTTAGATGCTGTCATTTTATAAACTTTCTTTTAGACTTTGATGCATATTTAAAATAACCTTGCTTGAATTGATTAATTCAACATACAGAGACTTGATATTGTGGAATCCATTATTGATGCTTTTCTTCTTTCAGGGTCCACCTGGTCCCAGAGGAGAAAGAGGTAGAGAAGGGCCACCTGGACCTCCTGTAAGTATTTATGCATAGTTTTAACTCAATTCAATAATTTTTAACTGTGAGAAAGTACATATTATACTGCAAAAGAAATATCAGAATTTAATGTCTGTTGAATCAATAATTTTTAACTGGGAGAAAGTACGTATTAGACTACAAAAGAAATATCAGAATTTAATGTCTGTTGAATAAAGCAAGAAATTCTTTCTTAGAATTTTAGGGGGCAAAATCTCGAAACTATATATATTAAAACATGGGCCAAAATCAATATATTCGGGAGTTCCTTATTACCCTAGCGCTCGAAAGTTTTCACAAAAGCAACTTCGGTTGTTTCTAGTTATTTTACTTAATTTTCTATATTAAAAGATAAAGTATGACAACTATGTAAAAAACATACAAATTTGATAAAGTATCTAATTTAATAAAATATCTAGAACATTTTCTTTGACCACAGTAAAAAAATAATATATCCTTAATGCTGGGTTAAAAGTTTTCTGACATAGCGAAACTATACCTGAAAAATATTCTAACGAGAAATAAGTGTGGTATATATTTTTCAATATTTAGTTGAAAATCCTCTTGCTTTCATGACATCGCATCAAAATTCTCCTTCCTTCAAGATAACATCTGCAATAGGTCTTCTCTGTATAACGCATCGTTTGATTATGCAGTGCATTTATCTGCACAAATTATGTTTGTAGCACAGTTTGCATGAAATAGCTGAAAAACATTCCCTTACCGTTCCATTTTTTATTTTCTAGTATGGTCACTGTGCTTTTCCGCGAGACAAAATACGTTATTTCTCTTGTTTGGGGATTTTGCTTCCTTGCTTTACATTATTTGATGAAAACAAATTAAGTATTATCTTTTATTACAAGAAAACTCTAAATGCTTTTTCCTCTATTTTATTTGCTTCTTAGGGAAAACTAACCACGCCTCTCTGTAAGTGAGAAGGTTTTAACTTTGATGGTGTCCAAATGTTTTTTTCCGAACAAAATTTTGTAAAGGAAACATTTAATTGTTCAATTTCATTCAATTCATTATTATTTTTTTTTTCATTGGAGAGATTAATAGTATATTGCAGTTCGTTTTGAAGTTTTTATTATCTTCACCATAGCCTTTTACTGAAAAGTGCTGTTGTCTCATGTTGCAGTTACTTCTAGTTATTTACTTTGTCTGATATTGAATTACAATTTGATGTCTTAGTCCAAAATCATAAAAAAAAAAATCAGATCATTGTGTAAGTTGTATTTGTATGCGTCCTGTCGAAGCTGAACAAAATCTTTTTCCACATTTTAATTACAAATTGTGTCTCACATTAACGTGAGCTAAAAGATAACTTTCAATTAGGTTTTATCGGCCCACCAGCGGGCGAGCGGTAAAAGCCGCTGAGCACTGGTAGTTCGGTCCGGGGTTCAATCCCGGCGAACGGGCTGGCTTCACGGGCGTTTTCGTGGGTTTTCCCATGTGTAACGTGGATACGAGCCAGTTTCCTTTAAAATGACCTCCACGGGACATTTCTCCCTTTCCATGTAGTGCCTAAGGGTGGAGCACTTAATAAGTTAAAAAAAAAATAGCTTTTATCCATCTTAAATTATACATGTCAAAAGATTTTCGAAATACGAACGTTGAAAAAAAAGGTGCATATTCAGAGTTCTTCTCTAAAAAACTCTCAACTACTCACACGGATTCTATCACACGGAAATGTGGAATTGATAATACACTGTTATCGATTCCACATTTAGTATACTAAATTCAGCAGTTAAAGGACTTTCGAGCGTTATTATATTGTATGCTTTAGAAATCTAATCCTTATTTATGAGATTTAAGAGTATGATTAGCCGGCTTAAAAGCTTTAAAATTCGATTTTTGTAATATTAAATATTTATCAAAAAGTGTTTGTAAGGAAATATTTTATTAATCTTTTTCTTGTTTCTACGAGATAGTAATAAATAAGTGAAAATTGTGAGTTTTTCTATTTCTAGAATTATAAACGTTCTTATTGCATTGATTTATCATATTGTTTCGAATTTTATGCTTAGGTATCCATTCCAAACTAAAGTAAACTAAGACCTTAGGCAGTTGCAAACCATTAAACTGTACAGTTAAACAAAATGACTAATTTATCATTGAAAATTAAACGCTGTGAAATCTTCATCTTTGCATTTTCCAAGATTTTTTTATTGCAAATAATGAATGAAGTTCTAAGAATGCAGAAGAAAGGTTTAAGTAAATTTTTAATTGTAAACTCTATTGTCTAATTTTAATTGTCACTCTAATCTATTATATGTATATATGTCACTCTAATCACTCTAATCTATTATATGTATATATTTACGTAATGTTTCATTTTGTAAAACATTTTCGATACAGTTTCAATTTTTATTTGCATTATAGGGTCTGAGGGGTATTGATGGACTGCCAGGACAACCTGGACCAACCGTAAGCTTTCTTTTATGCTTTTAAATCGCATGGCATTGTTATTTTACTATTACTACTTTGTATTTTAGTCAACTGTTTAATATGTGAAGTTTTAATAATTTTAAATTTAATGTAATAAATTAGACTTCATGAATATATTTCTTTGCAAATTTAATGCAGGGACCAATTGGAAGATCAGGGCCTCCTGGATTTCCTGGATCTCCTGGACCAAAGGTAGTTTTTGATTTTTTGACTTGAAAATTAAAAATTAATTTTATTTAAAGATTTCTAATTCAAAACCTACTTTTATTCTTATCTAAAATTTCCACCAATAAAGAATGAATAATGGTAGTCTTTATGAAACTGGACATAGTTTTCTTGCTGTATTTGGAAGCTGTATAAGATTTAAAATATATTTTATAAAATTTTTTAGAAACAGTAGTAAGAATTAATTAGAAAATTAATGTCGAGGTGATTAAAGTTTATGATAATAGTAGATTAAAAAACGTCCTTTGAACAATTTAATTATTTTGCTATAAATGAAGCACGATAGCAATATATTTAATAACAGATGATTGAAACAAGGATGTATTTTACATCAGCTTCAATTAACGAACTGAATAAAAATTTCAGTTTGAGAATTTTAAATAACTGCACTTTGCATATCAGAAGCAAATTCATCTGGGAAAACTATTTACATAATTATCTAATAAACAGTCACTAACCTAAATAAAGTATAAACAATTGGATTATTTTATTACAAAATTTAGTTTTCAAATATGGTGTTTCTATCAAATAGAGAAATTACTGGAAGTATGTTAATGCAAGGAAAGTTACAAATAGTTCTACTAAGTTATAAATACGTATTGTTAAAAATAATAGCCTCTAAATTTATGTAAATAGCCACTTAACCCATTAACCGCCAAAACTGCAAGGAATGTTTCTTTTCTCATGAAAATAATAACAAATATTAAATTAAGCATTTATAATATAAATTTACATTGAAAATAAAAAAATGCTCTTACCTGTGGAAAATGCGAGTGTTGCGTTCGCGCAACGTCAGCGGAATAAGACTACGGATGTTTAGTGAGTAGGATTGTACTCGTGTGATGTTTCTTTTGAGTGGAGCGCAGGATTACATTTTTGATGTATAACGTTTTATAAATCTACCAAATCACTTTACTTTTAATTAATTTAATATTAAAATATACATTGTATTTCTTTTACAAATACAGATTATTTCAATGGAAAGATTCAAGCATGACAAGCTTGATTACAATCATGATGTAAAGCTACATTACATACTTTGCATCTATAAACAGTCTGGCTATGGTACTCTTTACAATAAAGTCTTTTGTTATCAACGGACTTTACCATAAAATGTCTACCATCTCCATGCAATGGTTTTTGAATGCTGAATTTACTAGGGCTTCCTGTTGCTGATCTATTTCTGGCTGATTATACACTCTCAATAGGAGTTTGCAAAAGGAATTATGCATTCTCGCGTCTGAAATCTAGAAGAGACTTTATATTTACAGTAGTAATAAGTGATGATATTTAGTAAGTTTAGATACGGTCTCACCTCGTATAATTTATCAGTATTTTCAATTTGACTATTGTCAAATGCAAATTCTGCTTCATATTCCTGTACTGCAAACGTGATATCGATTCTCGTACAACAGGAACAGAAATGTCCTTTTCAAAAGACCAATACATTTTTTCTTGAGGTAAAGAATGATATCCTGTAAGCAATAATATTACAATAAATCTTCTCATATAGGCTTCAGATGCAATAAATTCTGAGTGCTTTTTTTTTCGCTGATATATTTGTCTGTTCAACGAGAAGACAGTAAATGTTTAAACCAAAACGAAAATCGAAAATCTGTGCACTAGTTTCACCTTATATTTTGTCTTTTATAATTTTTTTTCTATCTCTTTCTTCATGTTCTTCCTGAGATATAACTAACAGTTCCTTTTTTATCCACTTCAAGATTTCAGTCATCTGCTTTTTAAACTTTTTAGTATGACTATAACTGCTTTTAGAAGGCTGAAACTTACTTCTTACGTAAATTTCAACTTCCCCAGCTGTATCATTTGGAAAAATATCATTATTTAAAACATTGCCATTCCTTTCTTCTTCGTCACTAGATTCTGCAATTTCTGAGGGAACAACAACAATATCAGTTTCATTCTGGTCATTATTAACATTATCATCATCTGTTTCTTCATCAAAAAATCTTTGAAGAGCTTCTTCTAATGTAAGATACCTCGTTCTAGGCATTTTTAAACAACCAGAACACTGACGTTGCGTCAGCGCAACACTTGTTTTCCCTTCCTTCCAAACACAAATATAAACAACTGACTGATGTAATGTTCTGATAAACGGTGACCTTGACTAAAAATAGATCACTCATAAAGACGGCGATTCTTTCGTTAAATATTTTCAGCAAAAATACCCGGTCGAAATTTTTGCTTAAATTTTGCCTAAAAGTATGAGATTAATTATTATAAGCAAAATGATTGTTGAAGGCAAATATTTTTTACAGATATAATCTTCAGAATACTCCCTACACAAAATCATCTGCTGGTATAAAATATCTTAGGTAGTTATATTTATATACGTATTTATTTTGACCGTTGCGTCAACGCAACACCAGCGGTTATTGGGTTAAAATAGATAAATAAAATATTTTGTGATGGAGAATCTATTTTACGACTATCCACATTTTCAAAATACTACCAAATTTTGCAGGAAGTTTGGATTTTGGATTAATAACTTCATATTAATTTTTTCACAGTTATATTCAGGGATTGAGCAAACATTTCTGACTGATATCCTTCTTTCTGAATGCATAGAGTCGGCTGTATTTTCTTAAACCACGAGGAAACATCTCAAAAGATTGGAAAACCTTCCTTGCTAATGAAGCAATTGTAGGAGACTGGGGAAGTAAGAGATTAGATACTGAAAATTTAGTTTCTCATAATGAGGGTAAAATACAGCCCAAATAAGTATTTTATGTACTGAACAATGGGAGAAACTACACCTGCCAATATAAGGATATTTAGGTAATTAGGAAGACTGCGACACAGGAGCGGAGAAATGCTTTGAAAATAAATAATTTTATGAGAAAGTCTAAAACGATAAAAGTCTGTTGCGAAATTCGTATTTTTATTACATTATTATTTTATTTTTGTATTATAATCATTCGTATCAAAATATAACTACAAAAATGCTAATTTTTATTGTTTAAACTTTGCCTGTATTAGTTGTAATTGATTCATCATAAAATATATATTATTGTGTATTTTTCTTTATTGCGATGCAAAATTAAATATATTAAGACATAAAAAGAAATTTAAAGACGTAGTATATTATGCAATTTGCAGAATTTTGTACACCCTGATTCTTAATGCGAAAGGGAAACGGCTTTACTGTTCATATGAGTAGCATCGTTCCACACTACGTAGTGTTATCGGTGTTCTACTGTACCTGAATCACTTACAGCTGAAGTTTCTGTATATAAATTAATTGAATAGTACTTGTTTTTATCGAAAAAAATCATATTTCTTAACAATATTTTTATTTATGCGTTAGAAGGCTAAACAAGTACAAATTAAAGTTTTACAGAGTCTTTGTTAATTTTTATAAAAATGAACTAGATACCTAGTTATTCTTTCCCCCTTCTTCGGCAACTTACTTAAAATGTTACTTCAATACTTTTCAATGAATTCCACTTTTTATGGAGGCCACCAGCGGCCGATCGGTAAAGTCGCTGAAACACTGGTAGTCTCGTCTAGGGTTCAAGTCCTGGCGAATGGGCTGGCTGCATGGGCGTTTTCGTGGTCTTCCCCATGTGTAACGTGTATATGAGCCAGTTTCCATTAGAAAGCCCTCCACCAAGACGTTCCTCCCTTTAGGCAGATAGCCCTCGCGTGCTTTGCAATGATTAAACAAACCAAACAATGTTTTATGCATTTTTGCAGAAAATAGATCCGTAATTCGTAACAATCCCATAACTAGCGTTTCTACAGGTATTCAGTTTTTCTTGTTACCTCTAGTGATTTCACCTAGGTCCATTTTATTTTCAAGGAAAGCCAGAAATCAGCTGGAACCAGAACAGAATAAATTGGAGTTTGAAACGTATCGATGCCCAAGGTTGCAATGGATACGATCATTAAGTGTTAAATGAATCAATGCTGCGAAATAATACATTCGACATTGCAATTATTTCGAAAACGTTGACTTACTAAGCTTGCTAGAGAAAATAACTAATCGCTTAGCTAAATTATTTCTTTGAAATTAAGCCGATTTTCAATCTTCTCATTTAATTCTTGTTAAAAATTTCTTGATACTTTACAAAGAATTATATCTAGATTACTGAAATCTTAACTTTTTATAATTTGTCCATACATATGTCTAATTCAAAATAAAATAACATTTAGAAGAAATTACCAGTATTCTCTTGTCTAATGTTTTAAATTCCGTGACTTATGTATTGTTTTGTAGGGTGAATCTGGAGCTGTTGGACCTAAAGGTAGTCAGGGTCTTACAGGACCGAGAGGAGAAGCAGGTACACCTGGAATACCTGGAGAACGTGGTCAGACTGTAAGTATCCTTACGCAGTTAACTTTTCTTCATAATTCTTCAACTATGCTTCTCTTATATTGTGTTTTGCATTTAAAAACAATAGAAATTGTGTTCCAGTTTGAATGCTTACTAAGTTATTCGTGAATTAAGTGATATTACTCTCTTTGCTTTACCATGGTTTTAATATTATTAAATTAAGTTCCATAAAACAATTTCTGTAACAAATGTACTGTGTATGTACTTCTTTACAGGTGTGATTCATATTGAAACTTTTCTCTGTGCGTTTATTTGATGTCATGTGAAACTTAATTTTTGTCTGCTTTATAATCATACCTAATACTAAATTTTCGACTTACAGGGACCTCCAGGAAAAGATGGAATACCTGGTGAAAGGGGAAGCCCTGTAAGCATTATTTAATTTTAAAGCATTACAAGATTTATATGAAAACTGCTTCTAAGTTTAATATATTTGATTAACAATTAACTTCTAAAACTGAAATTTTAGAAACCTAATAGCTTAATTAAATATTTTCCATAAGCCTCAATACAGCGATCGTACACTTAAAATTAGATTCTAATGGTTTATTTATTGCTTTGTTAAACAAAAAAGATGCTTAACTATCAACTGATGTCTTTATGTATATCAGAAGTTTTCTGAAAACTACAGAAAGATACATTAGTCATATTTATGCGTGAGAACTGTGTGAGAAATTTAAAAATTCTATATTTAAACTAATGCAATTCGTCACACATCAAATTTCGAACTGTATGTATTCTCGATGATTATGCTCCTCAATTTTGTTACCAGCATATTTCTTCCTATAATCATCATTCTCTGTAATGTCATGAATATGATATCATATCCCACATGTAAGGTGAATACGAGCCGGTTTTTTTTAGAAATCCTCCACTCTAGTTTCCCTACACAGCATTCTTTCTAAGACAGCCCAGGCATGTTGTGCCATAATTTATTAGCTAATCACCCTCACATGTGTTTTCCTTTGTGGACTAATAAATTCTTTTAGCTTGTTGGGATCCCACTTTTAAATGTCTAAGCATCTTTCATAAGCATCTTTTGACTTCAATTGACCCTGCTGAAGTTAATATATTACATAATTCAGAATCTATATAGTGAAACTTTCTATATATTGAATATTTCTGCATGTTAAGTTCCAATATGAAATTTTGTATTTCTTCTGAGGTGAAATTTAAAATTTTGCCGTTATTTCTCAAAACTGAACTGTTCTGACATTATTAGATTATGTAGTTTATATCACATCATTCGTCATATATTCGAACCTATTAGTTTAGTGATAAATATAATATCAAAACTAGAAATAGATTTATCTTTTTTTTTAATTTTAGTTAAAATATTTTACTATAAACTGATGTTTTTTCTTCAATTAATGCTTTTGTATTTATGTTGCCTAAGACTTAATGATTATCATATACAGGGTGATAGAGGACCTAGTGGTGCTCCTGGATTTCCTGGGGCTGTTGGACCTCCAGGTCTTGTTGGCGCTCAAGGCGTTCCTGGGCCAAAAGGCTCTCAAGTATGTAAACCATTTCATAAAAATCATTCCTGTCATAATATAATTTATTTAAATATATATATATATATATAATATAGTAACCTTATATATATATGTGTGTTTTCATAAATAAATAATTATTTTATTAATTTTGGTTTCAATTATGAGTTGTAAAAACTAAATTCACTTTTATAAAAGAAGATTTTTTACACTTTTTTACTATTACTTTATTAAAAATATTTATAATCTACCACTTTATTTGTAACTACATCAACCACTTTCTTTATAAAAAGTCAATTATGAGTTGTAAGAACTACATTCGTTTTTAATAAAAGAAGATTTTTTACACTTTTTTACTATTACTTTATTAAAAATATTTAAAATCTACCACTACCACTTTCTTTATAACTACATTGACCACCTCCTTTATAAAAAAGTCTATTATGAGTGAAATATTACATAACGTGCTTAATTTTAATTAGTGACATTTTAAAAATAGTTATTAATTAGGGCCTGCTAATCTTATGTGAGTCGAAGCCACCTGTTAGATTTCATAAATTTCAAGACCCGCATTTCATTTCTCTCAGTGTAACTGTACAGTTAAATCACGTTTAAAATATCAACAAATTTTTGTACAGAAAGAAACAAAATTCCAATAAATTATCAAGAATTTCGCATTTTAAAATATGGTGAGTGTTTGTAAACATAAGTAAATAAGTTTTCTTGTTCATGCTTTGTTTTCAAAGAAAAAATAAAGCACTTCGATATACAAAGTAAAGCTTTTCTACGATCTGCAGAAATTTCTTTTATCAGTTTCCAGATGGAAGAATTAGCATTTACTTCTAATTAAAACTGAGGACTTATTTTCATTAGAAAGAAATTGAAATGTAAAGAAAGCGTAATGTTTTCTACAAAGATAGAAAACACTTTTCACTCTAATGAAGGAAGTAATCTAAACATAAAAATCAGTGTTTTCTCTTTTTTAAATTTTAGCCCATATACTCTTCTCTGTTAAGAAGAAAATTATGCATGGCGAAACACAGTACAGTGCTTTAAAATTTCGATTGAGAACAGAAATTATTTTTCAATAAATAGCCAGCCCTATTATCAGGTTTTTGCCTAGAAGGTTTAGATTCTCATGCACAGTTAATGAGGAAATCAGTATAGGGAGATTATGCCTTAAATCATTTAATCAGTTCATTACGCACGAAAAGTACCCATTTTTCTGAATATAAGTTTCAACTATGTATAGTCTTAATGTCGTGCGGTAAAAATCGATGTTAGTTAATGCAGCGTGTTATTGATAGGTTTTTCTTCTGTGGTGTGCCGATAGCCACTGCCTGTTTTAAAACATTACTTTGCTGTTAGTGCGAGGAATGGAACTTTTTGTCTTTTGTTTATTACTTTGGCAATTAGCAAAAGTGCGCGTTTTGAATTTTTTAAATTGTTACACTCACATGTGATGTAATTAAAAATTAATTATTTTTGGTAATAAAGCGTTTCGTGGCAGCTATTTAATATTACAATTATATTCAAAAATAAAATTGCTGCCTGTTATAGTGCGAGATTTATTTAACGGACCCCAAAACCACTATTTATCTATCCTTCGTTTATATTATTTTACTATTTTAAAATTAAATTTCACTTCTTAGGGTAATCGAGGAGAACCTGGTGTTAGAGGAGAAAGTGGTCGCAAAGGAGAACAAGGAACTGTTGGACCTAGAGGTTTGCCTGGAATTCCTGGAAGTCAAGGAAAAAGGGTTTGTATAATTCACAATCGTTTTCTTTTTTAAAAGAAAATGTTAACAACAGTTGAAAACAATTAGCTCTAGTTCTAAATATTGTGCTAGTTTTAGAATACTTCAGTTAGTGTATTATCACGACACTTATGTATTACTTCATCCACCTTAGTAAAAGTCGCCAACTAGTCTAGTAATGCCACACCAACTCTTAGCTCAGTTTCATTTGCACGTTTATTAGATAGTTTTTGTTTTATTCCGTGTTCTGCCTTAGTTGCTAATTTTTTTAGCAGGAGTGTATTTCCGCTTTGTATTCTAATTGTATGATTATAGTATAAGGTATTTCTCCCGCTTTCTAACGTGCTTTCGTGGTGTAACGGTAGCACGCTGGGCCGGTATTCCAGAGCAGTGCTCCGCAACCGGTGTGCCATGAGTAGGATATAGATGTGCCGCAATCAAATACATGTATTTGACATTTTGCAATTTTTTATCATGTATTTAATACACAATGACAATTTTTTTTCCTTAATAATGTCTATTTTAAATGTTTTTATATATTTCACTGTTGTGTGGTTGTATGTGTGATTGTAAGTGTGTCAGCATTTGAATTTTTCGGCACTTCCTTGATAACTCGGAACTCTTTGGTGTGCCACGAAATTCCAGAAAGATTTTTTGTGCGTCGCAGGTGAGAAAAGGTTGCGGAGCACTGTTCCAGATGTCCATGGTTCGATTGCCGGCGAAGGCGTTTGCATATTTGTCATCTCTCTGCTTCTAATTCACCTAATGACTCTACAATAGTAACCACGCTCGCAGTGACTTAATTTGAAGTGAAAAAAAATGAGTGGAGAGACAATAAGTTTCACTTTCTAGCTACAGTAAATATAAATTTCATTTTACATAAAGCATTCAAGTTGTAAGGTTTTTATTATCTTTCTTGGTAATGAAAGTATGTAGAAATATGAAAACAGTTTTAAAAGGAACAGACATTCTGATGAGCCATATGGTAACCCCGCAACTCATAGAATGATGCTGACCTTTTCGTGCATCGGAAGCATTTTGGATATTGATTCTGGTGACATTGAAGTGTTTGCGACAATGTAAAAAAGGTTGTCGGTTGGAAGATGAGTGAAACCAAACCAAAGGAGTCTCGGTCACGCACCAACCGCCGGGACATTTGTGATTGCGCAAGTGGAACAAACAGGAATGATGTTGAACAAAATAGTCATCATTGCATTTACAAGTATGGTACAATTACTTCTGCAGTCTAAGAAGATGCTGTGAAAACAGTTTCTTATGTCATTACCAGAATATTAAAGTAGCCTAAAAAGACTGCAGCTGTTCTCTCCCTTTAAGACACCTCTCATGCTCACTGAATATCTCGTGTTCAAAATTTTCTTCGTGATAATTAGTTTGAAATATTTTTCCATAATTTATATTCATTTGACTTATTATTTTGGCTTTTTCCATCGCCCTCCGTGGACACTTTCCGTGGCAGGAAATTTTCAAGTCATTAAACTCTTGCATCAGCAATTTTCCAGGGGATGGGAAACATATCCCTAAAGAATCGTTTCCTGCAGCCATGCAGTCAAGGTACCATCTTTAAGAAACATGTACTTGTCTATAGATTTATTACGTTGAGAGATTACAGCAATTTTCTGATCTGAATTCATTTAAAAAATAGTTAGGCTCTTATTTCTTGTGAAATTTTATAAATAGAACCTCTTGTCTTTAATTCACTTTGAACAGAATGAGTTCGTAGTTTCATTTTCTGTTAAAATTAGAAATTGGGGGAGGGGGCACTTAACTTACTTGTTTATGTGTTACCAAGTTTTGAAATAAATGTGCTCTATATAAGCTGTAAGATGTTTTGACTAAAGATATTTTTTCATATTTTTTAATATAAAAATGCAAGCTTTATCAATAATGCTTATAAAAAGGATTTTAAATTTTATCCTTATTAATTGTTGCTAAAACTAGTAATACTAATGTGTATTTTTTTTTCTTTAATAGGGAAAGAGCGGCCCTCCTGGTCCCGCTGGTCCTCCAGGATCACCTGGTGAACGAGTATGACTAACATACTTTAATAATATTGTCACATCTATTGTCAATAATTTTGATAAAATGATGTAGTTATTGAAGTGGTGTTTAAATATTTTTGTGTAAATAGGGACCCGCTGGCTTAAGAGGATTACCTGGAGCTGAAGGTGCACCTGGTATGAAAGGTATTCCTGGTGATCGTGGATTGGAAGGACCCATTGGTCCAAAAGGTCCTCAGGTAACTATGATAATGTGGAAGCAATCTGATGTTTGTTATCAAACCTAAAAGCATGCTTTTGTTTTTCTTTCTGGCGGTTAAGTTAATATAAAGTCACCTGTTTGTGAATTTATTCATTAAATTTACATGTGTATGTTAATCTTAGGGTGATGTTGGACGCCAAGGTCCTCCTGGCCTTCAAGGTTTGAGGGTAAGTTTTCCTTTCTTTCTCTTTTTTAATCATATTTCTTCTCTTTAGCTATTAGCCTTTTGTTTTTAATTTTATATTATCCTATTTAGGGCCCTCCTGGATCAGCTGGTTCTCCAGGAAAGGATGGATCTCCAGGCGAAAGGGTAATTTTATTGTATTCTAATTTTTAGAATATAATTACGTAAGCAATGAACTCATTTTAAAAATATAAATATACGCGTTTTGAAGATAAATTTTTGCAGGCGAGTAATTAACTTGCAGATGCTTTTTAGAACATATTTAACAAAGGCTTGCTGTCGTTCTTTTTCAGTTTTCCTAATGTTGCAGTTTAGCTTGCCGTCATAAGTTTTTGTTAATCGGGATTTCATCAAGAACGCTTAGTGAGGGCGAGGCAAGGTTTAGACTAGGCTTGTTAATTCTGTACTGTAAGTTTGATTCAAGTTAAACGTGTATATGTTGTACCCACAAGTCAGCGGAGGTTTGTTTACGTTAAATTTTCAGCTTGTAGAACTGTCCGGTTCGACGAGTAAATAAACAGCTTTATTTTACATTTTTACTTTATGAACGTAGTTAACAGTCAGACGGAACGAAAGGCCCATTACAGTTACTTTGGGTGATTTGGTATTTTAAAGTTAATAATGTAACCGTGAAAGCTTAAGTTAGAATGCGGGGGGAAGCGAAACTTGAGAATCGGAGATGCTTTTTAAGTTGTTTAAATGTATCGGCAAAATTATTATTCTGAAAATTAAGTTTTATTTAATTGTGTTAATAAATATTTATTAAATGTTTTATTAAATGCATGTGAGCTGCAATAAATGCAACAACATTTGAACAGTTTAATGGAAAGGATTTAAAAACACAGAATGTTGCTTAATTTTCTATGTTCTGACTAGACGATAATACCGGCCAGATTTATATATTTTCTTATGGTTCCCTATCGTGATACAATATTTTTACCTTAAAGCAGTGCGAAGGATATTTTAAATTTGTTCCCTTTATATATGCGGTGTGGTAATTTTGAATACTAGAGTAATTAATTTTAGAAAATTTTTAGCTATTAATTTTCCTTTTGGCAAGAATTCGAATTATTAATACAAAGGCCTTGTACAGATTTGATTATTTATGAATATAAGCAATGAGGTCTTAAATTAAACTTTTTTGTAGTTTTTTATTCGTTAAATTTTAAGCTGCATTTTGTCATTTACTCAGAATGTAATGAATTTATATTTTCTCTGTAAATAGCATTAGCTGCCTCTACTATTTCTTTTTGTGATCTGTTTTTAGGGTGCTTCTGGGCTAGATGGCAAACAAGGTCCTCCAGGCCCTCAGGTCAGTTGTACTAACATTTTAACATGTGCTTGCTTTCTGTGAATTGTACATGTGTTTTAATAATTATCTGTTTCTTGAAATAACAATATGTTGTAAGAAAGAAAACTAGAATATGTGTAATACGGAATGCCGAAGGAAAAACGAAAATGGAAATTCTGATAGGTATATCTTAATTACTAATTTGTATAAGACAATGAGAATGGAAACCTTATGTAAGTCACATTATAAATAGTTTTTTCGTGTAATGCGACATCAGAGGAATTTTGTCTACATAATGAGTCTCATTAGCAAATTTTAACACTGGAGTCTTAGGCTGCACATTGATAAATTCTATACATATCTTAATTAATTAATAACTTTATACTAAAGTTCTCAGTTCCTGACTAACTGGCTGGCTGCATGAATATTCCTAATGAGTAAATTGAATACCAATTAGTTTCTTTTAAAAAGTTCTCTATAAAGTTATTCCTCCTAAGGCCGAAAGCGCCACGTGTTTTGCCGTAATCAATAAACCACCCATTTAGCAAAGGTTTAACTATTTAGCAAAGGTTATGTAAGGAATAAAATTATTATTTTAATGAAAGCCTGTTATATCCTATAACAGTTTCATTTTTCTTCTTATGTAGTTTTTATGAAGGGTTAATAGAGCATGCAAAGTTCAGAGCCATTAGAATAAGGTACTGCTTTTTTGCCTCTTAAATAGATGTGAGATTGATTTTCTCAAATTTTTGTTGAAACTTTACATTGTAAAGTTGTTCTATTTTGTCTGTTCAGATTTTTCTGACCAACATCCCTCTGTTTATTGACTAATATTTATCCAGAAGATACACAAATTTAGCTGGCATGAAGACAGTTAGCTCAATTAAGCTTGGAATAGCTAGTGCAAGTGTGATTTTGCCTCGCTGGGCGATTATATTGAACGTTATATTATTGCCTGATCAAGGACAGAGCCATCACAAGCTGATAGAAGTTTCTGGAGTCTTAATCATATTGGATTAAACTGTCATTAAATTATACATATAATTAATCAAGTAGCCTTCATTGCAGATTCTGTTTTGAAAATATTGAATCAGAACATTTTTTAAATTCAGTGATACATTAATTTAGAAGTCAAATAACAAAAATCAGCATTATGTTTGAAAATTTTTAAAGGACTAGTTTCGATGGTTTTACATGGAGCTCTGGCTGTTGGTTAAGGCTTCATCACAGTATGTTGATTTTTGAGTATAGCTATATCTGCATTATAAATTAACAGTAGCTCAGCCAAAACTGATATTTTTTATTTTGTTAGCAATTTTTCAATAAGGGATTTTATTTAGAAAAGCAGTCAAATAACTCTTAAGATTAAAAATATTATTAATGATTTGCTTAGCCAACTATATAAAGTACATTTCATTTTTATATAAGTGCATTTCCATTTTTATATAAGTGCTCATGGAATGTAGCCCGCTTAACCCAGTGAATAAAAACGAACTGATCGATGGACAATAGCCGATTTAGAACGGCAAGTGCATTGCAGTTAAATTTATATATAAGTTGGGTTCGATCGTAATAAATTTAACTTTTTACTCCTTTCGTGGAGATGTGGAAAACAATTATAAATTATAGCCGTGTAGTAAAATGTATAGGCAAGTTGCGATTAAATAGAACAACTAATTTGGAAGTTATCGTTGTTTTGTATGTTAGGTCTGGATAATGTACTTCTGAGTTGCAACTACAAGTGATATATTTGTACATTTCTATATTAAATCTGTTTAAATTTCTTAATGCTTCATGTATTTATTATGGAAATGCTTAGTTTCGGCAGCCTAAAGATTAAGCAGATTTAATCAGGCTTAGAGACACAATTTGACAATCAAATTGTAAAATTAATTGTTTCTAATCATATGCTGCACAGATATTCTGTTAAGAAAAAGAGACATATGCAGTAGCTGATTGCTAAGCATTGCTTTCAAATGTGCAAGGCCCAATTAATTTAATATGAAACACGATAATTAATGCCTACTGTTGGGTACATATGTTCTCCAATGTGTGATTTGTATTGTGACAGGCAATTTGTTTTATTTATTACAAAATCTTTGATGTTAACGTCAAAGATTTAGTGCAGCATTTTATTTACTGCATTGTATTAATTTTTAGCTTGGCTATATTTTAATGTGTTTTGCAGGGTACACAAGGACTACCTGGTTTAGTTGGTTTGCCTGGTACAAAAGGAGAAAAGGTAATTCTTTTTTGAAAATGCTGAATTTTGTTTTTTAAGAACTTCTCTTAAATATTTTATACTTGTAAAAACATTTCCCACCATATGAAAAATGTGAGACCCTTTATTTTAGCTGGCAGGCATATTTAGATTGTTTATTTTTGAATAATTTTGTATTTAAATTACTCAAATACGAATATATAAATACTGAAATACAAAATTACTCAAATTATAAAGTTACTTAATGTAAAGTAATATTTATATTTGAAGGTGTCCTTTAATGTCCGTTAAGGTTATTGTCGCTCACATTTTTATAAGGCGCGTCTGTACATAAATTATAATAAATTGTAAATAAATAAATAAATTATGGTGATTTTCAGGGTGAACGAGGGACTGATGGTTTGCCTGGTATACCTGGGCCTCAAGGACGAAGAGGAGATTCCGGAAAAGATGGATTACCTGGTTTACAAGGAGAGCGAGGTCCGGCTGGTCAACCAGGAGCTAAAGGAGCTCCGGGATCACCGGGTTCCAGGGGCTTTCAAGTAAAATTGTCTTATTTTTAAAAATTTTCTTTGCATCATTATCCCAGATTTGTGCGTCTTTAGTGATAATTAAATTTTGATATGCACTATTGACTGGTGAATAACTGGGCAAAGTTAACTGTTAACTGTTCATTGGTATATAATCTGACATGTAATGTTTATTGAGAACAGATAAATAGCCTTGATTTGTTTGGATGAGGTTGTAAATTGTATATGAATAAGTCATCCTGTTTTTTAATTTCTAAATCAGCAATCATACGATATTTTTTAAGAATAAATTAATCCAGCTTATGCATAGAAATGGAGTATACATTTTTAATGCAATAGTTTTGTACATAATGCTTATTAAAATGTATTAAAAATTTCAATTATTTCTTGATCAAGACTCACAGTTAAAAATTTCTAACTTCCATTAGCTTAATATTCTTGCTTTCAAAATAAATGAGTTGCTATACTGTTTTTATGCTCATATATTCATAACTATACATGAGTTGTGAGGAAAGATTTAACTTCTTTTGCTTCTTCTGCATGTTTTGAGTAGGACAAGTGAGAAAAGCTGTGCAAGCAATAACTTTTAGATATATCTTTATAAGAAAGTGTTATACTATGAAACAGAATAATTGCAAATGTGTGAAATAGTATAACACTCCTATTTATTTCATATTTACTTTATTATTAATCACTTAGCATTTTTAATTTTATACTAAAGCTTTCGAATTTATAATAATGTTCTGTGATAATGTACCTCTTTATTTCTTTGTTTACACACTAACTTGTGAGCTCTAACCGGTAAGGCCGGGTATATAATATGCATCATTTCGATTCTAAGCATAAAAAAGGTACTTCCATATTTTTCATTTCAAAATATTCTTCCGTAGCTTAGCAAATGTAAGCTTTATAATTTATTCTTTTTTGTACGTTGATGTGATTTTAAAAAGGACATAGCATATGAGAACAACATTTTTAATTGCATTCAGTTCTGAATTCATCACTTATTTTCAAATAATGTAAATGAAAGAAATTTTTTAATCCTTTTTCGTAGAGTTCCTTTGATCTTTGATTTCTGTCATCAGAAATGAATAATTGAAGCATATGCTTTATTCTTACTCAGTCAGTTACAACTCTTTTATTGCATGCAACTTAAATACACATCATTTTGCAATGAATCACCGTATTTTTGCTATCACTTAGCTACAGAAAGCTATGACTTATTGCAGTAGTAGCAGGGCTGGATAACCTCCTTCACTCTCGTCGTACGTTGACAATTTTATGCGTTTGTAGCATCCTTAATAGTCTGAAATACGTTATTATTTTCAAAAAAGTGTCATGTAAAATGCCCCTAACCCGTATGACCTCCAGCTTCAGTCGTCCATAAAGTAGCAATCTCATACGTGTTTAGAAGTGTATCTCATCTGTTTGGAAGGATTTTGACTAACAGCACTCCTCAAAATAGCTCTAACCAAATATCTTCACATCATTGTCGTATTTATTTTCTTCAACGGACATTTTTTACCTATATTTAAAAAATCACTGCGTTTCTTGGTACCTAAACTGTGAGTTTATTTGATCATTATCGCATGCTTATTAATTGCCTTAAAACATTTACTTTAAGTCTCCGAGTGAACTGTTAGCGGTAATTGTTTCGCTTTAATAACAGCCTGAAATTTGTCGCAAAACGTATTGTGAAAAGTCACTATATAAAGCATTAACGTATTCATTTGTAGTTTATTAACTCATGGTTAAATCTCTTAGAGTTAAGCATTGTCATACACAGAGCCGATCCTAGCGGGGGGAGGGCAAGATGATGCGCATCACGTGGGTGGCCATATTTAAGGGCGGCTATATGATTATCAGGCATATTATATTTCTGTGAAAAAGAGTGGCAAAATTTTATTTGCACGTGGGCAGCCGACGGTCAAGGATCGGCACTGATCATATTATATCTAATTATTCCTTTCTAACTAAATATCTTACCTCCTTTCCGGAGATTATGTGCGCCGAACACGAGTATCTTTGAAAAAGCAAATTATTTTCATGCCTTCTACATTAAATTCTCTGTATTTGCAAATATTTGAAAATTCATCTCTTTGTATCACTTCAGTACTTTTTTTTAATTATCTATAAATACTATTACTATTCATTTTTTAAACTCTCCAAGATTGATCCCAACGCTTGAAAATATATACAATGAACAACTGGAGTACATATTACACTAATGATAATTTATTTCACCACGGGTCGACTGTTCAAAAGAATACTCATTTAAAATTTTTTGCGTAAGTTGTTTGTAAATTGAAAATGCTTTCTCTTCCTATTTCCTTAATCAAGTTAACTGCACTGCTGTGCATTGTAGTTGTTAGGTAAGCTTATTCAATGGAAAATTCTTGATAATTTAACTGTGCCATTAACAAAAAAGGTTGGGAATTATTGCCCTAGCATATTTAATGAGAAGATATAACTTTCAGTATCTTTAAATGTTTTAAAAACTGTACTGATGTAGTTTAGTCATTTGAATTAATTAATTAATAAAGGTCGATTATAACTGGTACTCACGATTCTGGGCAAAAATCATAATAATATTTTTTTGTGAAGAATCACTTTAATGCGTAGAAATAATGGTTGGAATAGTAATTTTTAAAGTTAGTTTAATTCTTAAAATTAATCATGTATTTCTGTATTCAAGTACTCATTCTTTATAAGGTAATATTTTTCTTTGACTGCAATAAAATTTTGTTTTATGCTTTACAAAAACAAAATCATTAATTTTATTATAGGCTGAATTTATATATTGTAGTATTAAAATAAATACCTGTGCTTGCAAAACTTATATTTTTGTATAAACTTTCAATATTTGAATCTCTTCAATTTTCTTTATTTTGTGTTACTAGCTGGATCAAAATCTTTTTATATTTTGCGTAACGGCTTCTATGTTTTCATTTTTTCCATAGTTATTTGCTGTTTTATTCATTATGTTTTTCATACTTATTTTCATTTAGGGAATACCTGGTTTACCAGGAGCTGCTGGTCAGCCAGGAAAATCGGGATCACCTGGAACACCTGGATCCCCAGGACAAGTTGGTCCTCAAGGTGAACGCGGTGAAAGAGGTTTCCCTGGAGAAAGAGGACCTGCTGGTCTTCCCGGACCTCCTGGATTACGCGGAGAACAAGGGCCATCTGGAAAAGATGGCGCTCTTGTAAGTAAATAATTCTTATAACCACTGGAAAAATGCTTCAAATTAGCTTCACTTTATGATATTTACATTTACTTCTAATATTATATGATTAGACCTTTCCTTTTGTTTCAGAAAAAATACTGAGAAATATTGCATACGGTATATTCGTATTTTAAATATTTTACAAGTTCGTTAAATATTTTACAAGTATAAAATATTTAACAGAAGTTCTTAAGAAACAAAATTCAGCATTTTCAAAAAAGAATTACCTTTTCTCCTTTTGTACCAGGCAAACCAACTAAACCAGGTAGTCCTTGTGTACGGTAAATTCGTAAGTACGGTAATTCGTAAGTACGGTAAATTCGTATACATCACTCAAATAAAGCTTGCTATGAGACAAAGAAATCTTTTCATTTCTCCAGATAACGTGTCAGCATCATTTTGTTACGTAGAAAAAACTTGAAAATTACTTTTTCAACTATTAATTGATTAACAGCAAATATTCAAACTTTCATCTACATAAACGTGACACCTCAAGCTTTAGAATATAACATTTCCAAAATTCTAAAGATTAATTATTAAAAGAAAAGCAAAAATTCAAATAAAAAAAAAAAAAAACTCACTGATTGCGAAACACAAGGGTCCGTAAAAGTATGTCGCCTGCTCGACACAGATGGTTTTCCCGTTCCACATAAAATGGTCCTCAAAACGATCGCTTTGACTGATCATTAAAACCTCGAGACTAATTAGGTAAACTGTAGGAGAAATACTCGTTCTTCCCTTTCTTCGGTGGCATCTTAGCGAGTGAAGCAAGAAATCAGAAGTTCAAGAAATTCGAAGATCGTCCTTACGATGTTCACACATATTAGATATGTTCGTTCTGACTAAGTGGATAACGACAGGCAAACAGTCAAGTGGAGATGACGACAGTCCATAATTTCAGCACTAATCTGCCTTTTCAGCGCGGAAATTCGGAATTATACCTGGAAAAGAAACCACTCCCTTTTTCCATATTTTCAACAGAAAATCTGTATCTCTTTCAACTAAAAACTACTACTTTGATGAACCACAGACTCCCTTCTTGACAGACGTCGGCGAAGTTTTCTTTTCCCTGTCCAGCTGCATATTGGTCATGATTTCATCACGGTGGTTTTTAGTTGAAAGAGACAGATTTTCTGTTGAAAATATAGAAAAAGGGAGTGGCTTCTTTTCCTGTTATAATTCTGAAGGGTTCGCCCTGAAAATGCAGATTAGTGCTGAGTTTATGGACTGCCGTCATCTCCATTTGATTGTTTGCCTGCCGTTATCCACTTATTCAGAACGAACATTTCTAATTTGTGTGAACATCGTAAGGACGATCTTCGAATTTCTTGCACTTTTGATTTCTTGCTTCACTCGCTAAGTTGCCACCGAAGAAAGGGAAGGTATTTCTCCTACAGTTTGAATGATCAGTCAAAGCGATCGTTTCGAGGACCATTTTATGTGGAACGGGAGAACCATCTGTGCCGAGCGGGCGAGATATTTTTACGGACTCTTGTGTTTCGAAATCAGTCAGGGGTTTTTTCCCCTTTATTTGCATTTTTGCTTTTCTTTTAATAATTAATTTTTAGGATTTTATAAATGTTAAATTCTAAAGCTTGAGCTGTCATGTTTATGTAGATGAAAATTTGAATATTTGCTGTTAATCAATTAATAGTTGAAAAAGTAATTTTAAAGTTTTTTTTCTACGTAACAATTTCAAGTAATAAAACACTTTGCTAAACAAATCAGAAGCTACTATTTTTAAGCCGTTATTTCAGAAGTAGCTGTTTGTATGTTGTTATGCTTTCATGCAATCGTATCGTTAACATCATTCTTTTTATTCACCTTCTTGTGTTTTCAGCATTGCCGGACTTCCTAAATGCAGTGCGATTAAACACCTACAACATAGTGTGCATGAAAAAATTATATGTGAAATACCTATACCTTTATAATGGTAGCTATGACACAGCTCATATAATAACAAAATTGCCAGAATATCACAACTTGGACTGAAATAACGTGAGACTAATTGCACATACATCTATTATTATAAATGGTGTTAGTGATGTAAAGAAGTTCGATACACCAGCTCGTGGTCAAGTTAAGAAAATTTAGCTAGAATGTATCCAAGAAATGTGATCGAACAGATGCTACTACTGAGCACTAGTACCTCGTAGCGAGCTCAGTTCCCAGCAACTGAGCATATTGTTTGGATAAGGATTTTGTGTTTCCCCCCCCCTCGTGCAATGTAGAATATAAATTAGTTTCTTTCAAAACATCATTTACAAAGGTAGACTTTCTATGAAAAATACATACCAAATGATTTTCCTCATTAAATTATCTCAATTTTAGCACCAGATCTGTGATAGCTGTCGCCTCATTTTAGTTGTTTGAGTATAAACATTAACATTTATGTTTCTTTAGAAAGTGCATTTAAGATTTTAAATATATCTCTCTGAGTGCTGACTTCTCTTTCGAGTCATAACGTGTTCTCGATAGATCGGATTTCTGCAGCAGGTGTCTCTTTTGAAGGCTATGTAATACCACACTCATTCGTGCTATATGTGCAAGAAATCCAAAATTTAAAAAATGAATAATGATATTAATACTAATATAACTAATATTACCTAAAACCCAAAGCTTTCTTATGTTTAAATATCTAGTCATCCAGTAAAAATTGCAATCATCTCGAAGATCGGAACTCTTGAGCATGCTAGCCTTCCTATAGCTAAGATGATTGATTTCACCTGAATATTAATTTCCACCTTAAAACAGTTTCATTATAAGCCATATTTACAACTGCGGGTATTCCTTGTTTAACATGTAACCGGATTTCATCGATGGGAATTTTGCTTGTCACAATCGAGTAACACTAGGCAGTACTTTTATCGAGCTGCATCAGTCATCTCTGAAAAAAGAGAAAAAAGAGTCTTTATCGTCACACCAGTGGTGCGAAAATTATGCTCCTGAACCAACGTTAGTTGGTCACGTTGTTCCATCCTTTTGTGTGAAAATTCTTAAGATTAATGTTTATTTGGTTCTAAATATCTTTTTAACATTTACTCTCATGTATCTAAAATTCATTTTTGACCAAGACTATCGAGTTCTAAACGAAATTCGGCATAAAATTTCATATGAAAACTTTCCAGGATAGTAAAAGCAAGTAGCATTGAGGAAGAACTAAAGAACTTTTGCTGCATCGTGCAAATGATTTGTTTAGGCAATGTTAGTCACACTTACTGATTAATTTACTTTACTAGACACTATGTAAAACTTTCACATTAGTAGACTTGGCAAATGGGCGTCAGTCATCCAAATCACTATGTAAATAGACGAGGCAAAACTATAACACTAACATATATCAACAGCGAAAATATGAATATGATGATTGTGGATTTTCTGAGATGCACTCCCAGAAGCAATATGAATCTGCAACATTTTTAGAACTTGTTTCACTTTGCTGACGAATTAAAAATAACAACTTGTGGACATATCTAAATCTCGAAAGAAGCGTGTTGATTGATTTCGAATATCCTTAAGCTGTTACTCGGGAAAGTGCGGAAAGGAAGAAAATAATCGAATGTTCAAACTACTATAAATAATCCTTTAAAGGTGTGAATTTTTTCTTAGGCAGTAAAACATTTACATGTTTTTTTCCTTTCTTTTAATTTTGTATAAATCACAGGGGTGAAATAAAAAATTTAAAAAAGGTTCTGACAAATAGTTCAAGGACATACAATATTATCTTTGTATAATAATATATGTTTAATTAACGCACTTTCATTTTAGAAGGATTAATTAACTGCATTAAGCAAATGATTCTTGTATTTAGAATTCGAAATGTAACTTGTAAGCTAAGCATCTGTTAATGTTATAAAGTAAGATGTGACTGAAATAAAATTGCAAAAAGACAACAGGAATTTTCATTTTCAAAAGTAATCTGAATTTCTTGGTTATATTAATTTTTTCATAAATTATTCATACCCATATACCGTATTTCTTCATGTATTTCCCCCACCCCACCACCACCCATAGCTTTTAGAGCCAGGCTTTAAAACTTTTTTAAATATTCGAGTAATTTTTCCCTTCCTTAATGCTTTCAGAGAATAAAGTACCCTAAATTTTAAAATGGATTCGCCCATGTAAGTAAATCTTCTCGTCTAACAAAGACAAACCGTCGCAAACTACCTGCAAAGGTCATGCCGTTCCTTTCCCTTCTAAATTTTTTAACTCTATGTAACCTAACACAAGAACCGACCAGTCATAGCGAAGCAAACGTGAACTGGCATTTAGTCTACAATTTCACTCAGTCAGCTGCACAGTCACCTTCTTTAATTATTTATAAATAATTTGAGGCCGAAGATAATAACAGAGGCAATAATAGGAAGGGGCGAGAATCAAGTTATAAAGAAGTAGAAATGAAGATATCTTATTATGTATTGTAATGTTAACATTACTATGTGTTCTTATTTGAAAAAGTATTTCGTATAAAGAAATAATATTGTAATATATTGTAATTGTGATATATTGTTAACTTGTAGTTTATACATGACTAATTTTCATTTTTTATTTTGGACTTTAACCGCTTCTTTCGGAAATTAAATTAGTCACATAATTTTCCCCTCCCGGACTTCCTTTTCGGAAAATAGATTTGGTAAAAAAAAGGTGGGGAAACACATAGAGATATACGGTATTTATTTTTGTTATAATTATATGTTATCAGTGTTACAAAAGTGTTTAATTGGAAAGTTGCATGCCTACTTTTTCTTAATTGAAAACCTTTTTTTATTTAAAGTGTCAGTATCATTTGTGTTAACTTATCAGTATATTAAATGTATAAGATTATGCCACACTCTGAAGATAAATAATATACTTTTATGTCTTTAATCTTTTTAATACCATTTGTAAGGTGTATGCATTTCGTTTCCGGTTTTAAAATGATAGATTTCAAACACTAATGCGTCTAATTAAATATAATAGTTGAAAGTGAACAGTTTATAGAACTAAATTACTTAATTTTTTACTTACTTTTTACTTTACTTACTTTTTTATTCTTTACTAAAAAAATAGCCTTTCAAAAAGGAAACTGAGGAATTCAGGATTAACAAAATGACATTTGAAACATTGATGATGACCGCAGATTGTTCAACTGAATAATTCTGCAAGTCAAAAAGAAAGGATATTTTTATACTATTATTTTAAGCTGTATTTAATCACATTGCATTTTAATATTTTTTTTATTTTTTTATTTTTGTAAAATAACATTTAATCATCATGAAATTCATTAGTTACACAGAAAACCAAAGAAAATTCTAAGGAATAAAATGTATTTGTGGCTTGCATTTCCAAAAAGATCTTTCTTTCCTTTTTTTTTCCCATCTCTGAAAATAAAACTTTACTTTCCATACCAAATATCAGTTAATAATACCTTAAATAATGATGTTATTATTTTTACAAGTAACATTATTTCTTCATAAAGGTACTAAAATTCGGTATTTACTGAAAATAATTTGCATGAACAACTTCATGATTACATGCGTCAAAAATTTTTCTTTTCTGTGTTAGAAACTTTCCTTTTACTTCTTCACTGTTTCATAATCAAATTACTTCTAACTTAGGGGCCTCGGGGAGAAAAAGGTGCTAAAGGAACTGCTGGTCCATCTGGCTTAGTTGTAAGTATATTCTTAGTTGTAAGTTTCTTGTTTGTTTCAGAAGTCTTAAACTTTTCATTTTTAACTTTAACTGAAAATAGTTCTGCAAGGTGCTTCTTTATTTCTACATAGGGACTTCCTGGTAGAAGAGGGGATTTTGGACCTCCTGGGCCGAAAGGTGACAGAGGTGATTCGGGACCAATGGGACCAGCTGGTCCTCAGGGTCGTCCTGGAGAACCTGGTCCAATTGGGTTAACTGGCATACAGGGCCCTCAAGGCGATTCTGGAGAAAAGGTCTGTATGAAAAGTAGCTATTAACATTTATTCTTGTATGAAACTTGACATACAACTACATTTTATTCTATTATTTATAATAAAAAAGTGACATTTATGAGTAGCAATACACCCACAAAACATTAAATATTTAAATATACTGTTTTTGGAAAAGACTGCTAAAATGTTTAATTTTTATTGCAAAAGGGTGCAATTGGACAGCCAGGACAACAAGGTAACCCAGGGCCTCAAGGACAGCAAGGGGAGAAAGGACAACAAGGACCTCAAGGTCAACAAGGATTTCCTGGACCTGTTGTAAGTGTTGATGGCTTTAAAACAAAAGCTCCCTCCTGCCATAAATGGGGACATAATGTCAGAAAACATTCTTTCCCTTGTGTTACTAAAGGTGTTAAAGGAACTGCATGTTTTTAATGCTGAGTACATAAGATTCTTTACTAAAAAATGTGGGTTAGGAAATAAATGACATTATAATAGCTTTTATAAAAGAAAACAATGGAAAGGGATAAAAATATATGTCTTTGGCTTCACTGTGGGCAGAATATTAAAAAGTTGAGAGATTATTCTTTTCTGTCCTCTTGACTTAGGATGCCATTTGTTAGAAATATTAATTATGATGCAATTTATTTTGCATTACCTACCTTTTTTAAGATACTTGAAAGGATGAATTTATAAGTGCATTTTAATTATTTAAAATTTTATTTAAAAATATCTTTTAGCTATTTCTAATGAAATTTTCCTAGTGTATTTTTTAAATACTGTATAAAACTTTGTTCATGTATTATAAATACAGAATACAATTTATTTACAGTTTAAAGCAAAATGAGATAATTTCATAAAATGGTGAATGTTGCAAACATGGACATCATCTATATACCGGAACTACACTTTCATATCATATCGTCATTTAAAACGTGTTTTATGAAGTTAGACATTTTTAATTCTTTTAATACTGTATTGTAATTATTTGAAAGTCAAAGCAATTTTTCTTCTTAAGTAATTACAAAGTTTTACAGTTAAAAATGTTCATTGTAATTTTATGTGTTTTAATTTTTATTAGTGCATTGATGAATAGACGGTATAATTGTTATATGCATATTAGTATAACATTTTTAATTATACAGCTGTTTCCACTTTTCCCATTTTAAAAACATATTCTGGGTTCATGAGTTAAACTTCATCACAAATTAAAGAAGTTAATATGTATAAAGGTTTTGGTTTTAAATGTATAAGAAAAGAGAAAAAAAGTAATTTTGTGATTGGAAATGCATATATTCTTTTTAAATTTATTCATAATAGTTTCCTCCTTGTGTCGGAATCTAGGAATAAAAGTTACCCATTCAAAGAAATAAGGATATTGTTGAATGTATCTGAAAATACTTTTCATGTTCTGTCATAACCACTTTTTCATTGAGAGAAGATTATCGTCAAATTAAGTTCTATCATACGAATGCATATGAAGTCATAGTTTATAATTTATTTGTAGAGATAATGTAGAGATAATTGATTTGTAGAGATAATTCATTTGAGATTATAGTTAGTATTATTCTTCAAAATTAAAAAGTTCACAGAGGTATTTTTATTTTATTATTATCAAACTAATTCGATGCTAAAAGACAAACTTATCAACTACCACATAAGACGAAGAGTTAAGAACGTACTTTTCCTTCGTTTGCTTCGTAGAATTTGAATAAGGCAACTTTTTTTACTGTTCTGCAATATAAGTTTAAGTTAGCATTCACTAATTCTCTTTACGTAAGGCATGATGCAATAACTAGGCATATGATTTTTTATTCAGCAGTGTATATCGCGTAAATGCAAAATCCTGGTTAATTCTGTTCTGAAGAGTAATTTGAAATCTTCCTTTAGTGTTGCGTTAATAAGTTTTCCAGTGTGGAGAATGTCATAGAAATACGTCTTCTCTCTATAATTCTGCATGCATGCACAGCTATCGTTGAATCTGTACCATGATAAACTATAAACAATTTAAAAGCATAATACCACCTTTTCTTACTTTTCATTTTTTATTTTCTTTTTTTTTTTTTTTTTTTTTTTTAAGAATTAATTAAAAAATTTTATATTTACTGAATTGCTCCCTGACTGTGATTTTCTTGAAAACTTAGGAATAGTTATTTAATAATGTGATTCGTATCATATGAGAATAACGGCAAAAGAAAATAATGTCATTAAATTGCTATCTGAATTTTCTAAAGTAAAATTTTGTTATACGAAACTGATTTTTTTTTTATTTTTTTTATTTTTTGTCAAGGGTCTCCCTGGATCTCGTGGAGTCAAAGGCGCTCAAGGTTTAGAAGGACCGAAGGTAAATAAATTTGGATATGTCTCTTTTTCGTTAAGTTTATTATTTTATAAATTAATGCTGTGAACCGTGCTGACAGGCCAACTAAGTGCATTACCCAAATATAAGACCTATAGAACTAGATTTAGACTTCATAAGGCCCTAAGCTATTTGAGATATGGGGCCCTTTCTAAGTCTGTTATAATATATTTTAATACTATTTAAGCTATATTTTAATTTTGGAGGGGGGGGACCTTAAGCTATATCTTGTGTAGCTTATACGTAAATCCGACCCTGAAGACCTCTCCCTTTTTTTGGTGTAGTGCTGTTCTGATATTCAGTAGTCTTATAATCAAGTGTTTGAAGAATGAGAGAAAGAAATTTAATTATGATGCTGTATAGAATAAAAACGCTGTTTGAATACTGAACAAATCACACAGATAATTACTATATATATATAGAGAGAGAGAGCCATATCTAATTAAACGATTTCAGTTTAGTCCTGCATCCACTGTACTGGTTACTGGTACATCTGAATACAAATATGTAATAACTTATCCTTAATTTTTTTCTAATTCTTTTAGTAAAATATTGTATTTAATTTAGCATGCCTTTCATTTTAATCAGAACTGTGCTCTCACCAAGCATTCACCCCTATTTTGATGTCATAAAATTTTCCTTAAATTGTAAAGCTGGCTTACATTCGAGTAAATACACTATTTTTCCAAATTCGGTAATATTTGAGACAACAGCAAATTTTTTAGTTTAACTCAACCTATATTTCTACCTTAGCTCGCTTGAATTAAAACATTTTACTAAGCTGCACTTTCAACATGGGGTAGGGGAGTTGGCTGCCATAGTCTTAGGCTAGAGCTCAAATAGTAAGCATGAGTATATGTAAAGGTATAGTGTCTTTGCGGCATTGGAGCACTTAAAATACTGTAGAACCGAAAGTCCTTTCAAAGGCGGGGATAAGAGACCTTTCCATTCGTTCTCCGAGGGATTTTCATTCAATATTCTGATAGAGCTGGGCAAAAGTCGATTTATCACTTTATAAGGCTTTGGCCAACGACAGGCGCTTACTACCTCTTGGCCATGATTAATTCATGGACACTTGATTGAGATCCTCTCATATCAGGAGGATAAGAAACAACAACAAAATTTTACTAAAGTTATTTCAGTGATTACGGTGGGTAATCATCACTAAAGCTTTGTCATAACTGTAGGCTTAATTATTAAGCGCTAAAGTCTAAGCATGAGGGACAACTTACGCCAGTCATTTTATGTAACGTCCTTAATTTATAATAATTGAAACACCGTTCTGTAATCCGAATTTCCCTCAGACTCTGTCTTTCTACTTTTCAAAACGTTTTCAAGAAAATGAATTCCCTTAAACGCCTGATTGTCTTGAAAGCCATGAGGCAAAATATGCAAAATCCTGAACTGCAGAGTATCTTAAAGCTACACAAACGAATGTTTTTTGCGACCTTCGCTTCGATGATAGAAATGAAGAAAGGAGTAAAGTGACAGACAGCATTAATGCAAAAATATTTTATTTGATTCTGTTATTTTCCCTGAAATTCTACTGCTCGAAAGCTTAAACAAATTTTTATTAGCTGAGTGAATTTGTAACTAGATGAATTGAACTACTGGTAAAATCATGAATAAACAATCTAAAATAAGAATTTTTTAAATCTTATTATCATTTTCTAGATTCTTATTAGTTATTTTCTGTCATACAGTTTTTTAAATTCAACTTTTATAAAACAAATTTCATTTAAAGTTATGTGTGCCAAAAAAGTATCTGGCTTAAATGTTTCCTGTAAAATTATTGAACAAAATAAAATTGCACAAAATTACAGAAAGGGATCCAGGAATTTAAGATGAATTATATATGTTTTTAAATGTGTAGAGGAAATGAAATCGTACAGTGAGTTCTGTTTAAAATAGGTTAAAGATGCTTAAGTCTAATAGTGTGTTAAATTTCCTGTTATTAACGGTGTGTTCCTGTTCATTATTTCAGCACAAAATACATTTATCATAAATCAGAAAATTTTCAACAAGTTTTATAAAAAGGAAGCTGTTTTTCAGAACGTGAGACATAAAAATTAACCCTTATTTTTCAAACACCTGTTGTTTTCCATTTTGTAGAGGAAGAGAGGTATTAAGACGCCACTTGGAATGCGGTCTGTTTTGAAAACATGTGTTCATTTGTTTTATATTTTTGGGTGTCAAGAACTGTTTTTAAACATAATTTTCGTCTTTCATTCATACTAGGGTGAAACTGGTGATATTGGTCCTCCTGGTCCTCCAGGGCAAACTGGTCAACGAGTAAGTTTTCAACTAACATTTTATTTTAGTTTTTATAATTTCCTTGTCCTATTTGCTTTGATATTTACAAAATAACAGGTAAATCTTAGTAATATAGTTTATGCTACCAATAAACTGTCTTACAATAAGAGTAAAAAATTTTATCTTAACCGTAACATGAAAATTTTTTTACATTTCTAAACATCGAATTTAGGTTCTTGTATGTCAGACTGTGAATTCAAATGAAAATGAGACTACTATTTTTTATACCTTCCACATTCTTATATATATATATGTGGGTGGGTGTGCTAAATAGATAAATATAGTAGATTTTGTTGTATTTAAGCAAATTTTTCTTTTCTAGGGCTTAACAGGACCACAAGGTGATAAAGGGCCAAAAGGAGATGAAGGGAAAAAGGTAAATGTGAAAGAAATATTAACTGAAATTCAAAACTGTTTTAAATTTTATATTTTTATGTTAAGTATTATTGAGGAAATATTCTATTTTATAAAACTGATTAATGTTAAATATGTAGTAAAATATTCTTACAAATATTACCTCATTTTTCTGAACTTTTAACTTCCTAAAATTACTGAAAGATGTACTATAAAGATCTAAATTTCTTTTTTATGGTTAATTAATGTAATGCACATTTTTTAAAAATTTCACATGACAATGAATTGTATAAATATTCATTATAGTAAACTTCTTTTCATATATTCTGTTTCTTCAAAATTATTCAGATATTTTTCTGTTATTAAGTACAGTTTTTTAAGATTCAAAAGTGTCATTTTTAACTTTTAAATTGTTGTTCGTAACAACAATCAATGGTAAAATTTTTCATCTAGTATAGGAACCATCAAATGCCTTCCCTGCGCAGCAGGTGCAATCCAGCATTATAGTAAACTTGTGCTGCCTGTGTGTGCGAATGAGTCGGCTGTTTGGAGTGAGAACTCAAAATTTAATGCGTAGTTGGTCACTGAACGTGTAATTATATCTGGTTTTCCTGTTACTGGAATTGTGTTGCAAGACTATAGCATGAGTGTAAATCTTTGCAAGAACTGCTTTTAAACATATTTCTGTCCTTCGTTATTTTTTTACCCTCTGCTCAAAACTTAGATTTGGTTTACCTTATTCTGGTATTTTAGGGTAATGATGAAGTGGTTATCATATTTAGACAAAGTCCGTATATAAGACTGTATACCTCCTTCCTCTGTTAAAGCGGTGATGCAAATTTTTTCCAGTTTGTGTTGTGTAAATTAACTAAATACATGTTAGTGGACTGATTGAAAAATTTTAAGTCTAAGCTCTTTTTCAACATCAAATGACTCCACTGTCCTTGTATTTTTTCTTTTTCGAATTTGAATTCGTCACATAGAATTACACTTTTTACAGATTCTTATACATGACTCAAAATCTTGAAGTACACTGTTTTGTGAGGCCGTTTTTAGCACTGTGGGAGGAGCATTTTCAGTTCCTCATCTGAAAATATGCTCTGCCCGCGTAATTGCTTTTTAAATGTTGAGAATACTCAGAAATCACATATCATCAAGTGCTGTCTATGTATAGTATTCAGTTCTAGTATTGACAGTTCGATTTCAGATAGCGTCGCCAGTGTTACTGCAGTAACATTTTACAGTAACTTTGCTCAAGGCAAAACAGTAATTTTGCTCAAGGCAATGAGCAGATGGTCATTGCCTTGAGAAAAATTACTGTTGTTTGAGCTAATTCAGTCTTTTCTTTCTCATGCTTCCTCGCAAATGGTTTGCGAGATATTACATAATAGTCACTGTTCTCTGTCTGTTCACTGATGTACCATGTTGATAAATGCTCTGAGTAACCTGCCTGAAGGAGCCTGAAGTGTGATGTGCCTTGATGTGCTCCATCACTGAAATATTAAAGCACAGCTTAAATGATTCATTATCATATATATACTATATCATTTCAAGCGTTTCGTTATCGTGTTTTCCAATTTCAAGACAAAATTTAGTCACATCTTTTCCATATAGTCATAGACATATCTTCCTGACATGCCACGATTAAGCATACTAGGTGCTTTCACTCACTATGTCGAAATACTGAAGACCATGGCTGTCCAACTGCAGATTCAAGCACGTTGATGCATAATCATCACAAAACCCAGCACAGGATTGCCATATCTACTATTGGGACAATAAAGGGAATATTAAAAATAATGCACATAAAAGCTTTTCAACATAACTTTCGCTTTTACGAATCAGTAACTGCATGTTTTAAATAGCTTATAAGGTATTTCTCCCGCCTTCTTGGCATGCCTTTGTGGGTGTGGTGGTCTGCACGCTGGGTGCGTATTCCAGAGGTCTGTGGTTCCTTTCCCGGCGAAGAAGTTGCATATTTTTCCTCTTGCCAGCTTCCAAAAAATACCTAATGTCTCTACAGTGGCGACAGAGCTAAAAGGGTGGTGGATGATGAATCTCCATACCCAGGATTTGGCGATTGGGTGCCCTAAAACCCCATTCAAGTTATTTCTCCTGCCTTCGTGGTGTGGTGGTGGTCTGCACGCTGGGCGTGTATTCCAGAGGCCCGCAGCTCGATTCCCGGCGAAGACGTTGCATAGTTTTCATCTTGCCTTTTTCCAAAACAAATACCTAATTAAAAAATGCCTCAAATTAAGGTTAATTTTAATCCTATACAGCTGTTATTATCTCATAAGGCTTTTGGCATCAAACGTTTTGAGGCCAGCATTGAACTCGCCAATGCTATCCATAAGGACGCCAGTCCAAGAAACTTCGATTGAGCTCTATGAGCGCACATATAGAAATGGTATGGTCACCTTTACTAATATGAAAGGAGAAAGTTTTGAGATATATTAGCATCTGTTTCTCAAATGGGGAGCAAACGAGTATTTTAATAGCAAAATCAAACACATGCATATTGTTGTCCAGTATCTGCAGTTCTACTACCGTTATTTTTCTGAAGCTGTAATCTTTCTGGCTACAAGCAGGCTGACATATAAGATAGCTGAACACTGGTAGCTAAACTCGATTTCAAATTTCTGGCATATGGGCTGGCTGCATCTAGAAGTTTTCATAGTTTTCCTATGAGTAACTTTAATATGGACCAGTTTTCCTTAGAAAGTCATGAAGTTATCTGTTCCTCTAGTCAGATGTCCTCGAGTGATTTCTCATAACTGGCTAAACAAATACTTAACAATTCAGAGGTAGTTCTGCCTGTAAAAGAACTTCTCATAGCTTGATTATTTCTGCCCCCAAGTAAAGAAAAATATCAAATGATCTTAAATGCCTCTTCTGTTAAAACCAAAGAAAAAAAATGTAATATAGTGAATCACTGATCATTACAGACTGAGAAGAAATAAAATTCCAGCCTGTTAAACCTATTAAATTTCGCTAGACATTAACCACATAATTCTGTTATTGAACTTCTTGTAGCCGGATATAGTAGGTATATCCCAATCGCCTTTCGTTATGGAAATTTGTTCAGAAAGCCTTTTCGATGTGAACCACGGAGGCAATTTTATTTTTTCTGAAATTTAGAAGTATCAAAATGGTAAAATACAAATTTGATCCCTTTCAAAGATTATTCAAAGACAAGCTGTTTAGCTTTTTGTTCGGAGCATCGTAAATTACTCTTAGTTTTGTAGTTTCCCTGTCTTTCTTAGCCACAGGATGATTGGGCATATTATAATACGTTTTTTTTTTTAAATACTTCTGTTTCAGGAATTATTTCGTCTATGATACCTTCAACTAATTGCTTATTTAAAATCCTTTTATATTCTTCATAAAACATACGTTACTCTTAAATCTGTTCTTTAAACTAAGTAATCTTTGTTTTGTGTTATTAAAAGTATCGTCTAATTGTGGTTCCCTTTTAAATGGTAATCTAGCTTCATACCTTTTACCAATAAATTTTATTTCTGTTTCAAATTGTTTGATAATATCAGAAGATTCAATTAATTTTGCTTAAACTGATATTTAACATCCAAGCTACCAATCTGCCAAAGCCTTTTAATTCTTTGTTTATTTGATGGTGAGTGAACTCTTCATTAATAAGCTTTTTTTATTTTCGTAGTAATGTCCCAAAGCTGTCAGCGCCGTAAACAGTTTCGAGCATTGCACTAAAATGACTATTAATCGCCTGACATTGAATACAAACTCCAAACAAAGTCTTCCCCACAGCCGTTAAAGTCTTATTTATCTTTTCGCATCCACCCTAATTTATTTTCCGAAAATGTTCGGCGCCTATCAAAACTTCAAGTAATTTTGCTCTCTCAGCAAAATACAAGTCTGATAAATTGTAACCGCATTTAAAAATTTCCTGTACTGATCTGTCCGTGGTGCAAACATATGCATTTGTAATTTTATCTGTGAATTATATACTTCATTTGGTTTTGTAATTAGATTTTTGTTACTCCTAATAATTTTCTCTCTTAATCGCGATTTCCAAACTTATAAGCAAATAAGTTTTATTTTATTATAATTGGAACTTTTACCTTATCCGCTAATGATTTCGTGATAAAGGAAAGCATTGAAGCAATATCAAATAATACTCTGATAATTTTCGATTTATAACGTATTAAAATTCTCACAGGGCATATTTGTAATAAAATTGAACTTGAGTCTTTTACTTGCTTGTAGTGTGATACAGACGAAACTATTGCTTAGGATTTACTGTCATTCTATTTTGCATTAACACTTTTATTCAGGGAACTTTCGGTTTAGAAATTTTTTTTAAAAACCAAGTGATGATTTTTATAATTGCATTTTCCACATGAATTTAATTTCGTCTACAATTAACTCTCAAATCTGATATTTTTGTAACATTTAAAACAACGACCTTCGACTCTTAGCTTGTTTTGTCTTTCGGTATGTGAAAGAACTTCTCATTGAAATAAATCATGTTTTGTGTTATAGAATACGCAATTAAATTTTACGCTGTTTGAAAATGCAGCTGTTGGTTGACAAATACGCTTAAACTGTCTTTTATTGATTTCATTCTTATAGTAGTTGCTAGAAACATATAGATTTCTTTGAATCGTGTAATAAGTTTGAAGCTTCACCATACTCTATTTCAAATTTTAAAAATTCAACTAATTCCAAAGCGTCAGATTTGGTTTTTGATTCTTTTTGATTCTGTTTTTGATTTCTTTTTTCTATTGCATTCTAAAGCTATTGCTTCCAGAACCGGTTTCATTAAAATCGGACATAATAAAAACTGTAGATTCCCATAGCTACATTTAAAGTTTCCAGGGATCGAATATTAGTTTCTACTTCATTATATTATTTTCGAGCAGTTACGATATCACAAGCGCGCTTCACTGAATTTATCGCTTAGTAACTTTGTAATATGAACATTCATATGGCTATTAATTACGATGTCGTTTCTTCTGAAACGTTCTTTTAGCAGAGTGATACTTTTATTGTAATTTTCGCTCGTTAGAACTAATCCTTTAACTTGCTTTTTGAAAAATACCTCCTAACAAGCTGTTCAGATACAAAAATTTTTCAAAGTCAGGTAAACTTTCGTTTTTGTGAATGGAATTTTTAAACAGGCTCCAAAAATCAGGCTGCATACTTGCATCATCTTAATACTTTGAGATATTCAGTTTCGGAAGCTTCACTAGTTTTGACTGAGAAATAACGTTAGCTCTAGTACGGAAATCATCATCCGAATTATCCGAATTAGTAATTACGCTTCGATTTGATTTAGAATTGTTCTTTGAAATACCTAGAAACCTTCAATTTAATTTTTTTAATTTTTTTTTTTTTTTTTTGGCATGTCTTCTTCACTTGTTATTTCGGTTTCAAGTTCTTTTTGCTTAATCAGAGACTCTATGCTACTATTTAATTTGTTTAGCTTTGCATTTTTTACGAACAATTGCTAATTTGATTCATTTAGTTCATCTATTTTTAACTGTTTGTTTTGAAGAACGGTTCCTATTTTTGTTATAATTTTCTTCGTTTAGACTTCAAACTGTTGCTCGTTTTTTCCTTAACAATTCAAGCTTCATAATAAAAAATAAGTAAATAAATAAAAGAATTATCTCTTACATTCAGAACGAAAGGTTATTATGCTTTACTTCGGGCTGCCGGGCGCCAAATTGCTGAATTATTTCAAGTTCTACGGAAAATAGTGTCTTGCCTGTTATTCATCCGCGCAACGAATGAACACATGAGCCACGGTTTCAATTTATGGAGTTTGAATTCAAAACATAACAATAAAACATTTATTTAAAAGACGAGCAGTTTGCGTTCATATCATTACACGTCAGAGCATTTACACTGAACTGATCAAAACAGTATTCAAACATTGTTACTACATAGCGCCATCTATATATTAAAATTCTCTACATATGTGTCTAGAGATTTACTTCCTTCTTTATGTGTTTTAAAAATCTCTTGTTCTTCATGGTCTATTGTAAAGTCGCTAGAAATAACAAATGCGGTTTATAATTAATGGGAAGAAAATTTTTATATATGTTCATACTTTAATTTTCTTTTTATAATTCGCAGGGTCATGCTGGTTTTCCTGGTACCCCTGGACTTCCTGGAACTGCAGGAACACCAGTAAGGAATATTCAGTCATTATAAACTACTTAATATCATGATTTTCTAATGTATATTTTTATATTAATATTTGCTGAATTATTTAACATCTAAAATACTTGCTTTATTTTACATCCACTGCCTCTTTATACTTGTAGCAACAGCACATTTTAATTATTAAAGCTAGACTTAATATGTGTGTTCCAATCCAATACCCGACAAATCGAATAAATAATAAACTGGCATCTTTAACTGTTTGCAGGAAAACAATTGAAATTTTATACATTTTTATTATAAAAAAGAATGTATTTCAGTATTAAGGTCGAATAATTTTATGCATGGAATTATCTTCAATAATTATAATATATCATTTTAATTTTTAATGAAAATGTGTAAATTTAAAATTTCCATTAACTATGGATTATCTAACTAAGGAAAAACGTTACTTTCGATTTTTGTCAGCGCACTGAAGAATACTAATTCTTTTACTAAAGCTCTTGATGATGAATTAGGTATCTAAGAGCGTGACTTTATAACTTTGATTTTGAACATAAGAAGTTTGTTCATTCTATTTACCCCAGTTTTAGATTATAACATTTTAAGCAGGTAGCACTGTGTCGTGTACGATTAATCAAACAACCAATCATTTCAATCATTACCCTGTAGTACGTTTTATACTTCATATGGGTGTAAAAAAATCTTTGTCTCTTCAGATTGAGTAAAATAACATCTAGAACAGTCGTTGAATGTTGATCTCGAGCTACTGGTAGATATCCACAGTAACCCACGTGAGAATTTTTTCTTTTTAGTTAGTAAACAGGATAATAAATATGTTCACGGCTCTGTAACAAATTCAAATAACTCGGAAGTTGCGCGAAACACAAAACTATAGTATAGAATTGCCTTAAACCTGAAAATATTATGTAGCTGTGTGATAAAATCTCCTGAAATTAGCTGAAAAATTATAACAGGGATGGCCTTTCACCAAAAACAGAAGATTATAACAGTTTGTAACTACTCTAAATACATCGCTTAAACTGCAAAACCTATTTAGTCCTTTACCTCAATAGAAGGTTACATGTTTTTACATTTTTAAATAATTTGTTATTATAGTGTAGCTCTTTGACTCTTAATAAAGAGTTAAACGAGTATTTTATATTTTACTGGAATACCGATATAATTTATTTTACATTTATACATTATGCAGACACAGTTGAAGTTCTAATTACTAATAACTCATAAAATCGTGAAAATACTTGAAGCAGGTAGATAGTTTATTAAATACTCTAAAATGTTAGAGTATAGTGCATGCTTATAGAGTTTAATGGCAACTGATTGATCCAAAAATTCCCTGCATTTTCTCTGCATGTCCACTCTAGCTGTTTCATTGTAAAAGTTATTTAATGTAATTTTTCTCTTGAATTTCATTCCTTTTCTTTTAATTATAATAAAAAAAATAAAGTTTTAAGAAATAATCTTCTTAAATAAAGATTTAAACTCGTTTGCTGCATTTCAGTTAGATTAAAAAGCATATTAGGACACAATTTTATGAGAATTACATAAACATGCAATATAAATAAGGTGTGTGATTTAAATATCATTAATACATAATAATTTGGCCAAAAATACAATTATTTACTCGTATTGCTTTGTAAAAATATTTTATCTAAAGCTCTTATTATGGAAAAAGAAAACTTAAAATTTGATAACAATAAAAGTCATAATGATTGTTTCCAAATTTTAAACTAATTTTGAATCTACTAAACCTAAGCTTCGTTTTATCATGATATCTGTCATTGTATACAGTTGGAAGCCTAACTAGCAGTTATGAGTGGAGAATTCGATTTAAAAAAGTTAAATGATAGTAACGGACATCATTAAAACGGCGAAGTGATTTTAAAAAATATTGCCAAGTAGTAGAGCAAAGGTAAGAGAGATCCTTTTTTACTCACTGTATTCTTAAATGAGAGCAGGGAAACCTGCAGGGCAGGGAATGAGCTGAGTTTCAGAGAGAGCAGCCAGTTCATATACGCAACTTAAACGTACAGCAGGAATTAAATTCTATTTCAGTCTTCTTCAAAGCTTGTCCGATAATTCCAACGCTTTTTCATCTAGTTTTGCCATAGCTTTTGAGAAGAGTGTTCCAAAACCTGCTGTTGTAGAAAATCGAGAAACATATTTGATATTTTTATCATCTGATACTATTCTTTGAGCGTTGGGTATTTTCGTTTCATCCTTTGCCGTCAATATTTGAAAAAACGTATGCAGATGTTTGTAACAATCTACTAGAAAACTCAATTTTATAAAATAACTTTAATCTGTAACATATTTTGCTGTTTTAATAAAAGGACAAATGATTCGCTTTCTTAAAATATGTTTAAAAATGAAAAAGCTGAGAAATTTTTACTTTTTGCGTTTGAATACTTCATGTGGGTAATGAAAGGCCAATATTAATGCTTAATTTATATTTTTATTCTAGTACATTTTGCTTATCAAACATATTCCTTTGCAGCCTATTTAACAAATGTGGGTTCTTCATTTTTTTAGTTTACTGTTCGAATTTGCATTACAAAATACTCCATCTGTTTTAATGCATCATTTTGTTATCAGTTTTGTCACTATTGATAATATTAATTTTTTGTTAAAAACTTAAGTGTTTTCTTATTTTAGGGTAAACAAGGTAATCCTGGCCCTCCAGGATCTCCCGGAGTTCAAGGATTGACAGTTAGTATCTTACATTTTGATTCTTAAATATTATTATCCTTTACTTTTTTTCTTTTCAAATATTCTTCATATGTTCCACGCCTTGAAATATCTAGTTTATTTTAAGGAGTTATTATTATAACTTATTTATAGGGATCAAAAGGAGATTCTGGTAGAGCTGGACCTCCGGGCCCACCTGGTATTCCTGGTATTAACGGTTTTCCTGGGGCTAAAGGTGATTCAGGATCTGAAGGCAGACCTGTAAGAACCATTATTCTAAACTAATATAAAAATATGACTTTAAAACAATATAAATGATGTAAATTGTTAATTTAGTGTGTGAAATTTATTATTTATTTACTTACTTATTTAATTAACTATAGTGCTACTAATCTAGGAGAATATGTTCTAAAGACAAATCAGCAGAATGTTGCGGCTAACATTTATTTCGTATGTTTCTGTTAACTGGAATTAAAGATTTTATTGACTTTTTTTATTACAGAAGCAATTTTTTAACTTTTTGAAGCAAAAAAATGTTTTTAAATTTGTGAGGCAAAAACATTTCGTGTTGATAAAACAAATTTTCATGCATTTTTATTTGTGAACATGGAGCAAAGACTTGCATGTTTTTATTGCTGTACTGAAAATTACAAAAATTAAACTTAAATTAATTAATTATGTGACCTTTTGTAGCTTAACTGAATAGGTAAAACTACACAAAATTCGGGTATCCCTTTAAACCCGTATAAGTTTGAATCAGATTCAGAAAGAAAGAAATTATTTGAAAACGTCTGTTTTTCATTGGTGGTTCGGAATTTCCTACTTTTGCGTATGAGGAACTGATCCGGTTTTTAACTGCTCTGCGAAATTGATCGTTCTTATGTTACTTTATACCTAAAACGGGCCTCTTAGAGTCCCAGTTACATAGTAGCAACTATGTAGCAGTTTAGGCTCCAGCTCTGATAGTTGAGAATGAAAACGGAAGATATATTTGCCATGCACACAGATATAATGGAATTTTAAAAAATAAATATAAGCAATGTTTTTAAGCAGTCTGTACTAAATTGCATAGAAAAAATGTTTAATATATAACTTAAACTGTTTTATCACATACTTTTACTGCTTTCTGTGAAAGCATATTTTTTAGCATTTCTTTGCTCCTTTCTAATATATTTGATTAATTTTGTACCACCTCAAAAATATCAGTTTGAAGGCTTAGAACTTTTAGCACTAGCCAGAAACAGAAATGATAACTAATGAAATTTGTATACATATAGAATCATTTTTTTTTTTTAAATTTAAGAAAGAATGGTTTTACCAGTCCTTCACTCACTTTGCTTAAATCAAAACTGCTTTTAGTCAGGAAAGAAAAGAAGAAAATTTATATTAATTTTTTTGTTGCATTTGCGAAGACAAAAATTAAATATTTTATCGGCAAACCGTAACAATAATAATGTTTTAATTGTCTTTTGAAAGAATTTTTTTTCTACTTTCGCTCTTAAAAATAAATTGTTCTCGTCCTTATGATATAACTCAGTATTACAACATTTTATTGAAACTGTATTTTTAAGTAAAACGAATTAAAGTAGAGGAAATTAAATATTTTTAGGGCCCTCAAGGTCCTGCTGGTCCTGCTGGGCCCACTGGTGAGAAAGGTCCTCCTGGTTTGCCTGGAATTCAAGGAAGAACAGGTCCTCAAGGCCCTAGAGGATCTCAGGTATATTTAAAATTTCTATATTTTTAAATCAAAGTAAGCTTTTTCTATTCTTGTGAAAGAAGTTTTAGGAAAAATTATTTCATAAAATAATGACTTTTTTGTTTTAATAACATCTACAGTACTTTGGCAAGTAAAGATCGCTAAATTAAAGCCATTTATGCACTAATTAGCTTACAGAGAGTTGAGTAATGTATACTTTAAAATGTCTGAATGCCATGGATAAGTAAGTAGTTTAAAATTTTTTGTGAAATGTAGGATGAAGAGTGATAATAGTTACATAGAAAACAAGAAGTGTCTACGTACGTAAATTATTCTGTTGTCAGTGTTTTATTAATGATATATTAGAGAAAGTTTTCATATGATATTTTCAATCAAAGATCTTTGCTGTTACTGACAGTTGACTTACAGTTGATCTTTAGAATAGTCTGGTTTGAAGTATGTGGATCCACATATACGTGATTTACCATCCTCGTAAATATATTGAAATTATTTTGAAATTTTGTGTTAATGTTAAAACAAACTGGCAAACAAAATCAGCTTAGAATAGCTTAGAATCGTGAAAAGCGTTTAAAAAACTTGAATATTGTTATGTATGATGATTGCATTGAACGCATGTAGATTAGGCTATTTTATCATTTACTATCATGGAATGAACTCAAATTTGTTCTAAAAAGTTAAAATTTTCCTCCAACAAAAAGTGTTATATTCTAACCTGTGAAGAAGACTTGGAAAATCCGGGCAACATGTTGACGATCATCGTATTATTGGATTACAGCGTCCGGAGGGAACTGATGGAATGTTATGGCCTCAACTTCTACAAATACCCTGACATAGCAATTTATAGCACGTGGGATCGCCTCTGATATCTGATGACATTCCACACAATCTTGCTTATCATGCTTCCGCTATGACACCTTAAAGTGCATGCTGAAAGAAAGGGCCTACCTCAGTACCGTCTAAGACGTGTGCGGCATTTACTGTAGTCCGAATTACAGCCGGATTCTTAGGAAACGTGATCTGTTGACAGTCTTCACACCATTGCCTATGCTTATAGCCCATCCTAGTTTAAGGTGTCTATGGTTCATGATCAAAGGAAGCTTTTGAAAAGAAGGTTTTCCTATTGTTCCCCATATACCTTTGTGCAATAGATGCCATCGAATCATGGAAGCAGGCATTCCATTCCTGTAGCAGTTCCCCAATACTGTGCTACATTCAATAAGAAGCTGCACGGTTTATCGTTACCATGCGGACGAGATGTCTGCCATCTTGCGGTATCGTCACATTTCTTGGTCTAATACCGAATTTTCCACTTTGCCAGCTGTCTTTTGTCTTTTGCTTCCACATTTATTCACTGTTATAACACTTCCTCCCATACGAGCAGCAATGTCGTGATTCGAAAATTCTCTTTTATGCAGGTCTATAATTGGTACCCATTTGGAATTCTATAATTTTCATATATAATATCCTTTGATCTTGACGAGGTGTATTGACTCCTATAAGGTAGTGTCCAGTTCGTTAACAACGATAAACTACATGTCTGGCTTCAATACAACCTTCCACTACGCCTCACACCATTCTTCTAAGGATACTGCTGAGCCTAGGCATGCACATTCCCTCTGCATTTCTAATCGTTTGCATATTAGACCCTGTTACAAATTTTAAGTTTCATTCTGTTCGGTTGATTTCTGATAGTGTTGCAATTTTTATAAATATTGTGTGAATATTTAAAAGCAGTTAAAATGAATTCAATTTAAGAAACTGTAATTTAAAAGTACATTATAGAATTTAACATAAGCAGCAACGCTTCTGTTGTATTCTTCAATATTAATATTGTTACGAATTTGGTATTTAAAAAGCTAATGTTAGTTCAATTATAAATTAAATCGTTTTATTTCTCGCGCAGTGCAGCGCGTGACGAATATTAAAAGAAAGCTAAGCCGGAAAAATTAAAAATACAAGAGCGCGTGCGTTAAATAAATAAATATCTCTTTTTGATTTCGAGAAAGTACTGGAAAATTCTAGCGCGTGATTTTAAAATCTTATAAAAGGAGGAAAACATCTCAGTTTGTAGTAGTTGCTTAGTTTGTTGTTGTTTAGAAACTGCTGTTGTTGATTGTAGCGAATTCGCGGATTAGCGTTCTTTAGCTGTTTTGAATTACGTTCTATTGGACATTTGAGTAGTTAAAAGAAAACTACTGTGAGATATTGTAATACTGCATGATAATTTGAGAAAATTTAAGCATTTTTTTTTGTTGTGATAATAATAAATTTTTGTTCATTTTTCATCGGACTTGTGCATTCATTTCATAACGAACCCGTACGCACGCAACAATTTTTGGTGTCAGAAGTGGGATTTGAATGCCAATCACAAGAGCGATGGAAGAGCAATTAAGACAGCTGATATCAGCGTTTGCCTCGTTTAAAGAAGAAATGAAAGCAGAGATGAAATGTAATCAGAAAAAGATTGAAGCAGGACAGGAAAAGATTGAAGCAAGACAAGAAGAGATGAAAAGAGAAATTACCAGCGTAATAGAAAACAAATTCGAGGTTATGGAAGGCAGAATTGACGCAGTTGAGAATAAAGTTGGAAACTTTGAAGAAAAAGTTTCTTCGGTAAAAGAAGAAATAGAAGAGAGAATTTCTGCCGTGGAACAACAAATTAATGATAGAGTTTCTGCGGTCACCAAAGAAGTTGATGACTTTAAAGAAATTCGTAGCGGACGGCAGGTAGCAATCCGGAAGGTTTTCAAATTTTTATCGATGCCTGCTCGTTCCGTTCTGCAGAAACTATCTACATATGATGGGAAGACCTCCTGGCAGGTGTATAAGACACAGTTTTCTATCGTGGCGGATGCGAATGGATGGGATTCCCAAGCTAAGGCCAGTCATCTCGCCGTTTCTCTAAGAGCCGACGCAGCGGATATCCTTCAGACTCTTCCCGAAAACAAAAGACTAGACTTTGAAGCTCTATCCTGGCGCATTGGAGCTTGCGCTTTGGGAGAAGAAGTGTTTAAAAGACTTACAGCAGGCTTCAACTAAAATCCCGTCAGCAGAAGCCCACCGAAACACTTCAGGAGCTCGCCACGGATGTTGAAAAGGCTGTCCCCACCTTGCCTTTACGGAGTGCCCGAGAGAAACGAGGGAAATCCTGTCGCTGCAATATTTCATCGATGGCATTCGGGACCCTGAAATACAGAAAGCACTGGCGAATGGCAGATGTAAAGGATGTAAAAAGCGCTCTGTTGTACGCCGTGAAATTGGAGGCAGCCCAGCAAGCAACTCTTAGGGATCACACTACCCAGTCAGAGCTGTTGCGAGTCCACGACCCAGGGGACCAATTGATGGCTCGTTTAGATGATTTATCCAGACAAGTCGATGCTTTGATACGGACGGAGTAGCAGTGAGAACAAAATGGCTGTAAGATGTTGGAGATGTGGTTCTGAAGGTCACCTACGACGGCATTGCAGAACACCCCAGGGCACGGATAATAAAACGGATGAGTTGACATGACCTGCTTTCGGAATGCGTGAAAAGACGGAATAATGGTGAAACAAAAACCGATCCTAAAGTGCTGGAATTAACGGCGGGTGTGAAGGCCACCTACGAAGGAACTGCAGAACTCCCCAGAGCACGGAAAATAAGGCATACGATTTAAACAGACAATTAAATGCCACGGGAAGGAAAAGGACTGACAAGAAACCAAAGTGCTGGAACTGTGGAGCTGAAGGCCACGTACGAAAGAATTGCAGAACACCCCAGGGTACGAAAATTGAGACAATTTCTGAGCAACGACGCAGGAAACAAATTAATGACCATGTCAAGGAACGGAGGTTGCGAGAGATGAAAAAAAAACCCTGTTTTAAAGCGCTTAAGATCTCTATAGTGAGTGGCAACAATAACGGACTGTCCATCAATGGGAATATCGATGGAGTTCCTTGCAATATGATCATTGACACAGGAGCTAATGTTACCATCATTAGGAAAGATTTAGCTGAACAGTTTTAAAGATAAACTTATTTGGACGCCCATCCTGTGTTACCCTTCAGACTGCGTCTGGTGACAAGATCGACATAACTGGGAAGTTAAACGTAAACATCACGTTTGGAAGTGCCGCCTACATCACACGGCATATGTGGCGGATATTACAGATCCATGCATACTCGGATTGGACTTTTTAAGGAAATACAATTTTTCCTTAGATTTCAAAAACAATAAGCTGCTTTCAGCATCTGATGGCATGATTATCCATCCTCAAAAGGGATCCTCGCCTGGAAATGTCGACGCCTTGTCCGAAAGATCGAGCTCGGGAAGCTGCCGAAATCATACCAGGGTCGAAAGGAAACTCAAGACTACCAGCTATTTTCCATCCCAGAAGCTCTTCGGTCGAGACCTTCGTCTGCCTTGTGACCGCCTGTTTAGTCGCCCTACGGATGCGCCTTCATCGCCTGAGGAACACATCCAAGATGCCCAGGCCCGGTTTGAGGGAATGCACCGTTCTGCACGAAAGCGAGTCTACTTGGCGACGGAGAAAATGAAGACCAGATGCGACACAAGAGCTACTAGACATAGATCCAACAAAGGAGACAAGGTGTGGTTGTGGAACCTAATTCAACGAAAAGGACTGAGTCCTAAATTACAGTCACCTTCGGATGGTCCATATACAGTGCTGAACACGAATGACGTCGTGGTTCGGATCCGTGAGTCTTCGAACTCTTACGACAGGTTAGCTTATTACTATGGCCATAGTACATAATTTAAATAATTGTAAATAGTATAAGACCATGGTCCATTTTGTTTTTAAATGTGTATTTGATTTGCATTTAGTATTTGATAGCATTTGATTTGTTTAAGTTAGTTTATTGCATTTATTGTTTATATTGTTTGATATTGTAATGTAATGTTTATGCCTCAGTTGCATTTATGCCACAGTTGTAAGTTTAGCTTCCTGTCCAGGGATTGTACTGCCCGGGACGTGCAGTCCTTGGGAAGGGGGCAGTGTTACGAATATTAAAAGAAAGCTAAGCCGGAAAAAATTAAAAATACAAGAGCGCGTGCGTTAAATAAATAAATATCTCTTTTTGATTTCGAGAAAGTACTGGAAAATTCTAGCGCGTGATTTTAAAATCTTATAAAAGGAGGAAAACATCTCAGTTTGTAGTAGTTGCTTAGTTTGTTGTTGTTTAGAAAACTGCTGTTGTTGATTGTAGCGAATTCGCGGATTAGCGTTCTTTAGCTGTTTTGAATTACGTTCTATTGGACATTTGAGTAGTTAAAAGAAAACTACTGTGAGATATTGTAATACTGCATGATAATTTGAGAAAATTTAAGCATTTTTTTTTGTTGTGATAATAATAAATTTTTGTTCATTTTTCATCGGACTTGTGCATTCATTTCATAACGAACCCGTACGCACGCAACAATATGAATTATTATACATACGCATATAATACAAATGAGTACTGTTAAAGGAAGGAATTCAGATAATTGTTTTAACAATGCTGCAATCAAAAATAGTCTTTTTTTTTTTCTTTTTCGGCATCGATGAAAATTATCAAATATGATGACTTCTATAAAGGATTAGTTAATGCATTCGCACAAGAATATCGTCGTTACAAAAACATTCTGAATCATAAACGTTGCAAAGACTTATGAACGTTGATTATAAGTCACTAGAATAATTAATAGATATACAAGCGGATAAAAATTCAGTACAAAACACTCCTGTTAAAATTGAGAAGTAAGAAAAGAAGTATTACTTGTTTTAACAAATTTTTGAAAAATTTTTGAAAAGAAGTATTACTTGTTAAGACTACTGCGAGCATAATTTCAATATTTTGAGTGCATCAGAAATATCCGAGATAATTTGCATTGTTCAGTATAGTTCACAGCACATCTAAGTTATTGTAGCATCAGTTTTAAAAGATTTTAAACATTAAAGATGTTGTAGAATAGAATTGAATGAAGAGTATACTATTGTTTTCGGTAATTTAGAAAAACTGTGTTGAAATTTACAGAATTTTATGAGTAAGAATTTTGACAGGGTGAGAGGGGTCCTGAGGGAAAGACTGGCTCTGACGGTAATCCTGGACTACAGGGACCACCAGGACCACGAGGACCACAAGGCGCACCTGGAGAGCCGGGACCTGAAGTAAGATGTGGCTGATTTTTAATTTAAATAGCTTGGTGTTTGCTTTAACAGCTGTACATAGGTCTTTGGTAATATTTTTTAACCTGAATAGTACATAGCTTACTCATATTTCGCTGTAGTTTTGTGTGATATATGAAACAGCTTTTTCTAACCCACGTTACCACTATAAATGGTTAAAATTTTCAAAATTTCTCTTGTTTGTAAAGAGATTTCAGAAAAAAAAGAAATGTCTGAGTTTTATGCTTTCGATTGAATATTCAGTATGCAAAGAATTTATGTCGCCTTTAATGCATCGTATATTTATCAATACAACTACTCTTCTTTAAAAGAGTAAGATAATCTTTAAGTATAGATACATATACTACTCTTTATAGAAATAATGTTTTATATTTGGGCTAAGATGGGCATGCATTCATTTAATTTTCTGAGTATAAACTGTACACTAATACATCTTATTACTAACTTGTTATTTAAATCCTATAATTTAGGCTTCCTTAGTCCTTAGTTAGTATTTGCTTTTAGGATCGTTTAGATGTATGAAACAATTACTTATTTTATATGTGATCAATACAATATTGGTAATCGCATTTTTAACCTCTTTTGAGATAGATAGAAATATGGAGTTGAGAAAGAATTTTGGTCTTTTGCTTGAATCAAATAAAATATATTTGTAAATACTATTATTGTTTATATTTTAATAATAAATTTCAGTTAATTTATCATAAAAATTTACAACAGCTACGCATATTTTAGTACCTACCAGATACTGTTTGTTATAACTATTATTCATTAAAAATTATTCAAGACCGAAGTTGAATTATTATGAAATAAATTGAGGAATAATAAATGATATTTGAGAAAGAAGTTATTTTTTATTTTAACTCTTTATTCAACTATATATTACTCATTCGAAATAAAAGAGGAATACTTACGATACTCAAAATTTTTTATGCATTCTGTTATTTTCTTGTTGTTGTTGTTTGTTTGTTTTAATTACTTACTGGATTTCTTTCTAGGGCCCTCAAGGTAAAGATGGACCACCCGGTGCTCCTGGAAGAGTTGGTGAGAAAGGACCATCAGGTCTTCCTGGTCAGCCTGGGCAACCGGGTTTACCTGGTCTTCAGGTAAAGCTTAAATCAAAATATTAGAGTCAAAACACATTCTGTATAAAAAGAATATTTTTAGCGTCAGAAGTGCTCAGTATAATTAATCTACGTAACAGTCTTGCAATAATTAAAGAATTTTGTTTCACGCATATATAAAGTATGAATATTAAAGCACACTTGGGAAATGTTAAGAAATATGGAAATTTAGGACAGTTACTTTAATGTCGTCAATACTACAATCCGAACAAATTATGCGGAAGTTTTGGGTTACTTAATATATATTAAGAGACTGTAAAACTGAAAATTATATTAGCAGAGAACCAGGGGCGTAGCTAGAGTTTCCAGCGCCCGGGGTCAACTGAAGAATTTGCACCCCTTTCTGTGTGCCAAAAATGGAAAACATTTCATTAAAAAATTTCGTAGCATCAGTTTGGCGCCCCTTGGATGCTGCGCCCGGGGACAGATGTCCCCCCTTGCCCCACCCTAGCTACGGCACTGCAGAGAACTGAGAATTTGCAGACTTTGCATAGTTATTCTGAGGAGAAGGTGTTTCTTATTTGACTAAGTCTTATTTAAAGCTCCCATTTCATCAACACTTTATAACTAAAGAGTATATTACTTTAACAGTTTTCATAAATCGCGATAGCAATATAAATATCTCGACTACTAATAAGAGACACTAGGACAAAATTTCTGATCCTTTAAATAATCTGAAACTAAATTAGAATTCTATATGCTGAAACCATTTGATAGAATTTCATAGCTATTTCATCTAAAATCGATCTAGAAAGGGACTATAATGATAGTTGATTAAAATGCTATAAGTTATTTATTTTTAAGTCTGGTTTTAATTTCAATGTAGTTGCATGTATTAGAAGTATAAAATATAAAGCTTTAAAATCAACCTAAGGATTTAGTTCCACAACCTATTATTAGGGATAAAAGAAATAATAGAAACTCCAAGCTTAAACACTGAAAGTCTATCTTGAAAGTTGCAAGATGTACAAGTTTAAACACATTGAAATCCTACATGTATCATACATGTATCATAGGTTGCTACATGTATCATAGGTAGAGCCTAAAACTACACTTTAGTGTGTATACTTTTGATCAACCTGAAATAATCATTTGTAATAAATTTGTTTTTATATATATTTTATGTTTCCTTTTAGATAACATTTATGAACTTAACTCTCTTACCTAATGCAGGGTATTCCAGGTCCTTCAGGACCTCCAGGTGCTTCTGGGGAACGTGGACAAAGAGGTGAAAGAGGTCTGCCTGGGCAACCAGGACCTCAAGGAGCCCGTGGCTCACCAGGACCAATTGGGCCAACAGGAGATAAAGGGCCTAAGGGTGACATAGGATCTTCTGGTGACAAAGGGCATAGAGGACTGCCAGGATTACAAGGCCTTCCAGGTCCCACGGTAAATTACCTCTAAATATACTGTATTATGTAGAAATTATAGTGTACTAAAATTACCATATTAAGGGTTTTCAGGAATCTTAAAATTTTCCTTAGAGGGTTTATTTTAATATTTATAATATTTATTTCATTAATCATTTGTCATCTCAAAGTTTTAAATGATTAGAAAAGAAAAACATATTATTGGCCGAATATTTTTATTACAGCGCATCTTTCATCCTTTAAATGAGACATCTAGTATTTATGACAGAATGTGAAATTTAACTAAGTTTGTTATTTTCTTTCTGAACATAATACCAAACTTGATTTTTATTTAAGCATTAAATTTTTCTCGCGTGGCTAAAAGAATCAAAGGAAGCATTAGATTTGTTAATTCTTACAAGCCTTTTATTAAAATATTAACTAAAAGTAAAGCAATGAAGAAATTTTCTGTAGAATGTTTCCTATAGATTTTTCACAAGTATTTCTAAATTTTTCTTTGACTACAATTACAATAAATTATACAATAAATTTTACAATTATACAATAAATTTTACAATTATACAATAAATTTTACAATTATACAATAAATTTTTCTTTAATATATGAAACTATTTATCATAAAGACAAAAAGCTTTTTACAGGATGTCCTAAATTAGAGTACGGGTTTCAAAATTTATAACAGGAACACGGTTAAGGTTTAAAAAAAAAAAATTCTTGTATCAGATTCATATGACAGGGTATAAATTTTTCCTCACAGAGTTCCTGATTTTAGTTCAAACACTTTCCGACAGCTGCCGATGCAGATAGTAAACCCATAAATCAAAGAAAAATAATTGAAAATCACATCACAATTTTTCGAAATTTTTCAATGAATGAAAATTACATTATAATATTTTCAAAATGGTCACCATGAGCCATAATCAGATGTTGCAATCGGAAACTAAATCAGCAAACATTTTCTGTAAAGTGGCCAATGGAATGGCTGCACATTCGTCACTGATTATTTCTTCAAGTCTCTCAAGTATTCGGAGATTTTTCCGGTACATTGCATCTTTCAAATTACCTTAAAAAATGAAATAGGACTTTTCCAAACTGTATATGTTCCTTACTGATATATATTGATAATTTTATTTAAACCATTTACTTTCTGCTCTAAAAATAGAGCAGTTTTTAAATAATCTATTTGTACTTTTCTAATCAAATTTAGGGTCCACCTGGAGATAAAGGTATGACTGGAGATCCCGGCCCACCAGGAATGAAGGTAAATATATTTGAGAAGTTATAAAGTTTATTTTTCTTAGCTATCATGAACTGAAACCAGACTCTAGATAGATTGACAGTGAATTATCCCTGTGTCTGAAGTTAATGACAAAGTCTTAAGAAGGTTTTTTGAAAACAAACCTGTTTACTAAATCAGAGCTGGAACATAAATGCACGACTCGTACTTACAATTCAGCCAACCACTTGTGGCGATGTAACTTAGACTAACAGTAAGTTTAAATTTAAAACTAAGCTAATAGTCTAAAACTACACAATTCAGCTTAACGCGAAGCTGGCTCACAAATCTAACCGGCATAGCTATTCAAATATCAGAAAGTATAATACAATGCCGAAGACTACAAATCTTATCTGAGCTTATCTCAAATTTGCATAAACAATTTAACGAGTTTATTCTGGCCGGAATTGAAAAATAAGAGAGGACAGTAAAGTTTTGAAACAAAATAAACGTTAATCAAACTTAAGATCCTTACAATACCTTATATATATTGAGAACTTTAACTCATTTTAAAAATTAACGCCAGTTCTTAACAGGATGAGTTGTACTTCGCTTTGAGGATAATTACGTAAGAAATGCAAAACTTTGCACACATATAAAATGAGTTAGAACTTTTTCTAAATAAAAATATAAAAGAGATGATGAGAAGATGAAAATTAACTATGCGGCTTATGAGCACCATGCAATCAATTTTTATAAAATATTATTATTTTTCCTTCTTTCTTCTAACTTAAAATAACAAACTCTTTAAGTTAGAGGAGAGGAAAACTGAAATTAAGTGAAGTGTTACCTATATTAGTTGAACATTATACATGTTTAAAGATATGCAGACAATTGATATTTCATATGAAAGCTTAAATTTGAATTACTAAATTTCATTTCCTGTACTCGAAACTTCTCAAGCTCATCAGTTTATGAAAGATGATACCGTGATACCGGCATGAAATTATAGCTTAACTGCACTTTGTTGGTTATAATCTCCGTACTTGTTAGAATTCCATGTAAAAGTTTTAATAATTTCAGCGTTTGCATCTATGTAATCTCTGAGTCTATATTAAAACCATCATATTTTATCCCTGATTTGATCATTATCATTAACTGCAGAATGAAAACAATGTGTTGGAGAGGAAAAAATCGATTATATGTGATATTGTCTTAGATAAAATCGAAAACAAATTATATTGAGTTTCAACATTCTAAATTTTCATTATTACAACAAATATTTTGTACTGAAAGTCTTGTTAAACAAATACTATTTCATAGAACGCAGTTATTTTTACAGTGAAATTCAAAACTTTGAATTATTCTATTAGTTTTAATGAAACGAGGCATTTTTAAAAATATGCGGCAGAATTAAAAGTCTTTCAGGGAAAAAAAAAAGGAGTTAGTTTACCTTTGATTTCTATTATTTTGGGTATGTTTCAGTCATACCTTAAAATATTTATTATGGTGAGTAAATTAAAAGTATTTCATTTTGCTTGAGTGGCGAATTCTCGATTATCCTTAAAAATCATGTTAAATATTATTTGAAAAAATATTTCATATTGCATCGCTTCTACAATTACATACTAATATAAGTTGATTTATTTTCATCTTTTCTTAGGGGCCACCTGGACCAAAAGGTCCAATAGGTAATCCAGGAAATACAGGTCCACCTGGAATGTTGGGTATACCAGGACCAAGAGGTCCTCCTGGGGAACATGGAAGAGATGGCCCTCCAGGTCCATCTGGTCCACCTGGGCCGCCAGGTCCCCCTGGTCCAGGCTTTCAGTATGATGCAGCCATGTTACAAGCTCTTATGTCTCAGGGACAAGTGAAGGTATAACTCTTTCATGAGTATAAAAGTAATTTTAGCCTACTTTTACCATAAAAAATGAAAATAGCCAAAGCATTTCATTTCACAAAATGAAATTAGATATTTTAGTAAAATACAAGGATTTGTCTAAGTTGCTGCTTAACTATGTCTTTCTGAAAATAAAGCTATTTCTTGAACTTACTTTCTATATCAAAATGTACATTATTTGAGCAGGAGTAATTTTAGACTATTCAACTTTTTTTATCGATGATTATATATCCACAATAAGGACATTGTCCCCTTAACACATTGCCCTGTCCATATTCTTGAATGAATGGTGTTATTTATTTTTTTTTTCTTTAGTAAGCTGCATTAAACTTGACATGGTCAGGATCCAATGTTATATTTCAAATAATAATTTTTCAGATGTACGCATTTCCTTTCAAATTTTACATTTTGTTCATGTAATTACCACTAAATAGCTTTATACTTTATTTGTAAACAGTGGCGGCTCGTAATAAGCACTGTGGAACTGCAGCACCCCCTATTCCCACTTATTATTATTATTAATATTTAATATAGTGTGCCCTTTAATTATTTCTTTATACTTTTACAATACATAATCCTTAAGCTTAATGTCAGTAGCTATCCCCCAGTTTGTGAAAAAGGTACGAAAGTCTTTGTTTGGAACTGCGCGCTTCACAGTTCCAGCGACATGGCATTTGGCTGTTATGCGCATGCGCACAAAGAAAACCGCACGCGAGCCGGGTAGAGAAAAGAGCACTGTCGCTCCTGCAGTGCCAAAATTCTGGCATGTTGTTGAAAACGTGTTTTCCTTTTACTCTGCGCGTGTGGTATTCCTCCACAAGGTTTCCTCCTATTACTTCATCATACGGGCCATAAACAGAGTTCATAAAAATTTGCAACTTTTAAAAAATTGCCTTACAAAAATTCTGTCAACATCAAATGCAGATCAAATTATTGCAAAAGCAACAGGAATTTTAAAATATCTAAATGATGATAATTTCAAGTTTTGGTTAGAGCTTTTTTATCAGATGCCTCCTTGAAATAATATTAACTAAATGCAATACAGAGAAATTAGTGTGTTTAAAGTTAATGAATATGTAACAAATTTCAAAACTGCTATTTTAGAATTAAGAAACTCAAAGTACTGTGATAATTTTTCAAAGACACTGGTGGCAGAAGCTAAGGAAATATGTGATTTTATATTATGTATTGATATAATGCACATATATTCTTCCACTAAACGCTTAGCAGCTGCTAAATTATTTAACAAGAAATGCTTAGTTTTAGGAATGAACATAGTACCGACCACTGAAGCATATCCAATGATTGACAAAAAAAAAGCTTGAAACTGAACTAAAAGTATTCTATTGTAGGTCTGATATCCATGAATACTGCAAATTAATTGAGCTACTGAAATTTATCTTCGAAAATAATCAAGATGATGTTTTTAGTGAAATTACGAAACTGATAAAAATCCTCTTGAGAGTTCCCATGACTACATCAGAGGCAGAACGCTGCTTTTCAAAGAAGAAAACTTTTCTAAGAAGCACTAGGAATTCGGAAAGACTAAATGCACTTGCATTGCTTTCAATAAAGAAAAATTTCCTCACTTGTCATCCAGAGATCAAGGAGAAAATTATTGATCTTTTCGGGAAAATTAAAACTAAAAGAATGGATTTCATTTTTAAATGAATACACAAATATTGAACTATACCAATTTTGGTTAAAGTAATTAAGAAATGTTTAATTTTTTTCTTGTAAGATTTCATGAAGTTTCAAAATAAATTTTCTTTTTATACATGTTTGTTTCCTTTTACACAATTTTAAAACAAAGGTTAAATTTTTTTGGAACAACACCCCCACTAATTTTAGCCACGAGCCGCCACTGTTTGTAAAACAAAAACGAAAAAATTTATCAGTATTTTTAAACTGCATTTTTCGAGAACCGTACTTTTAATTTCAGTTCAAGGTAATGATAAATTGGCAAATGAGTTTTATATTTTCTATTACCAAGCACTGAGTTTGGATAACAAATAACTGAACTTCAAATGGACAAATAAAACTTTTGCCTTTCATTATTTTTATTCCTTTATAAAATAAAGAATTTAGTATATCATTTGAAACAAGATATATTAATTCCAGTGCAGCATAATAAAATCTAAGTACTAGAAATAATTTACTCTCCATATCTCTGAACTTCAGAATACCCCATTCCTGAGAACTTATTACCTTTTCTTCTCAAGTTATGTAGTCAATGTTATTTATTTATGTTTTGGTTTTGTATAATGATGCATAATATTGTTTATAACAATGTTAATCTGTATTTTTCAGGGACCTGATCCCTTACTAAGTGACCAGCCAGACTTGGATTTGTCTTCTGCTTCACCCGAAGAAAAGAAAAAATTAGTTTTCCAATTTTATGAGAAGCTCGTAAGAGATTATTCTGAACTTAGGAAGCCAACTGGAGAAAAAGATTTCCCTGCGAAAAACTGCATGCAGTTGGCAGGAGCTCAACCATCTCTTCCTAGCGGTAATTTATAAATTCAAATTCTTAAATAAGTGGATAAGCATTAATGGATTTAAAAAAATAAGTATTATCTTGTGTTAAATGCTTTTAGATGATATTTGTTCAGATACAGTTATCAGTTTTTAACTGATTTATTTCTCAGCATCGTTTATAATATTGCAATTTCTTCGATTTTTCTTTGTAATAATTCATTTTAATTTTACTAATATGAATTATTGTTGAAGGAAGGTTTCATTTGTTGACATATTTGCAGGGAAATATTGGATTGATCCTAATGGAGGCAATAAGAATGATGCCATTGAAGTATTTTGTAACATGGATACCAATGAAACGTGCATTATTCCTGATCCACAAGATGTATGAAAATTTTCTGTCATTTTAAAAAGATGAATTCTTGCACGGAATATTTTATACACATTTAATTTCTGAACCCATACTTATTTCATTTATTTTACTCACTTCACTTTTTCCTACAAATTTAATTTCTGAACCCATAATTATTCTATTTATTCATTTCACTTTACTCTTTCCTGACCCTAAATTCTCGCTTAGATTATAGTATACTTTTACCTAGCTTTATTATCATTTCCGTATCTTGAAATAGTGAATCATTTTTTAATTCATTTTTCAGAAACCATTTTAAAATGTTGCTATAGTACGTTCTAGAAAACATTTTGTATATTTATGAAATTAGTTAAGTATAATCTCTGATTTTTGTAATTATTATTTTTCTGTTTAGCATATACCTAAATAACATGATTATACATATATAATATATAATATATAGAGAGACACAAACAATATAAATGCAAATGCAAAAATGAAATACGGGAAGTATATTGCTTTATGAAGTACATTTTTGCTCATTTACAGATTTTAGCTGAAAATCACAGCTAAAACATTGCGGATGAAATAAATCAGTACGAGAGGAAAACGTCAATATCATGCCAGATAATAAGCAGTGGCAAAACTTCGCAAACTTAATACATCGTAGTTAAAATAGATCTGAAATCACAAACATATATATTTTCAGATTTAAAAGTATCAAGTTTAGATTTAAAAGTACAAGTGCATATTCTGTGTCATATGTAGTGCGAGTGAGTCTGTGCATGTGAGTGCGAGAAAAATTAACTAACAACGGTTTTTTAATTAACTAACAACTTTAATAAGAAAATCAACAGGAAACGTAAGAATTCGAAACTGGAAGATAAAAAAGTAATTTACTGCTGCAAATAGCAATCAATACAATTTTAACAGTCCATACATAGTTAGCTATTAAGAATAATTTTGAATTAATTATTTCTTTAGAATAGTATTTTTTTCGTAAAGAATACAGCATAGAAAGATAAGGAAAACAAAGATACATTACTTATATTAAAATGATTTTATTAATAACCAAAAAGCCGTTTTATTCCGCTGTTGTTACCCTGAAATTCCTTAGTAAAGATTGCGTCTTATTTTGCTTCATTTTCTTTGCATGTGATTCTGTTAATGTTTTCATATTGTTGATCTCCCTCTTTATGGCAAAGCATGTTTAAAACAATGCGGTGCAAAAATGAATGCAGAACTATAAAATAAACATCATTAAATGGTTCGATATGAATTTTTAATCATACAAATTGTAATACAGGTTAATTTATGGCATGCTAGATATGAAATTAATCTGTGTGCCAAATGGCGGACACAAATCATAGAAGAATACGGTTGGAGCAAATGTTGTCATACGACAGATACAAATCATAACAATGTTAGAACTTTATTTAGTATTTCGGTGAAAGAACATTAATGAAAATGGTTTTATTCTTATATCGTACATTGGGAAGACTGATATTTAAAATACTTCCTAGAAATTCAAATGTAAATTTGTAAACTAAAATAAAGTATAAATGTCAAAGATTATTTATACTTAATTATAATTTCCATTAATTTTCAGATTTTTAATGCATATATTTCCTTCTTGATTTCACAGTTAAATATTAATTGTTAATTAAAACATCAAAACTGAAGTAATATTTTTGTGTCAGAAATTATTAAATATTGCTACAGTTCTCGTCTCACAACAGTTCAGTTCTCACAACAAAACTAAGTAATATTTCTCGTCTCTTCTCGCTCCCAGAACTCATATATTGCAACAGCGAATATTTAAACTTTTCAGAATTCCAAAAAACATATCTGCGATGTTTTATTTTTTACCACTTTCTTTTGTCCGATGATGTTTCCAAAACTGCAAAAAATTGGCTTTGAGCTACGCTTTTTTTTTTTTCCCCTACAATATTTATACCACGATGTTTTTGAAATGCAATGCTTTCTTTTCTAACATGATATTTTATACGACAGTGTTTTCTCACGTTGTACTCTACGTGATGTTTTTGTCTGCGATGTTTTTGCCTGATTATTTTCGCCGATAACCTAGTTATATATGTTAGCTTATAATAGCACTTGTATGCAACTTGACTTATATTTTTAAATGCATATGCATCAGATATCTGAAAGAAGTTTTCCAATATTTAAATGTATATTATTTATATTTTAATAATAATCCTTATGGATCTAAATTACTTTATAAATTCTACTTTTACGTAAGGGGTAAGTAGATAAACTCAGATCGTTACTTTGTTGATATTAAAATTGTAAGAGCATTCACTTAAAATCTCTTAAAATGATGGTGGTTTAGTTATATATTTAACGTCATTTTATTTTTACATAATCTCTGTTACCATTATATTTTGTGTTAAAACGGCATCTAGTATTTTCCATTTCTTACTGAGCAAGATTTCTTTTTTTTTTTTCTAGGTACCAAAAGGAAGCTACGTAAGTGGTCGTGGACAAAAAACATGGTTTAGTGAAATGCAGTCTGGATCCACGGTTTGTAATTTCTGATATTAGTCTTAAATTTAAATATTATCCTATTCTGTCCAGAAATATATTTAATTTAACCTTAAAAGTATAAAATTTTAAATCTTACTCATGTATTTCATATGTGAAATTTCAAATCTTTATACCGTTAATTTATGAAAGGATTTTTAAGTTGGCATGTGCACATTGGCTAGGATAACCACGATGATCCTAGCCAATGTGGACCGAGGTTAACTAGGATAACACAGATTAATACAAAACAAAAATTAATACTATAAGTCTCATTGTACATACTATAGGGAATTTACTAACAAACAGGATTAATGAAGGTACATTGCGATATAAAACGTATGTTCAAATGTGCAGATACACACATAGTACTAAATATGATATGCACTATAAACTTGGAAACATTTACCCATAATACAAATGTGATGCTGTATAGTAAACACAATACATCACATGTTTAAAAAAAATCAGTAACAGCCTTCTGTTTCATTGTGCTGCCTCGTTTTCTTGCCACCATATTGCCTAGACATCACAACATCAAAATGTCGGCTGGTAAAAAGTCGTCTTGCTGTTCTGCATAAAGCAATAAGTTTTCAATCGCGCTCAAGCAATCTGTGTGACTGATCTTGGCCTGAACAATTCGTATGTCTTAGTCGTCAGAACTTTCATTATGTGTGACTAAATTTGCAATGGCCGAATCAGACAGTTCAAATTGTTCGTCATCTTGCATCTAGCCATTCACATCTTCATTCAGTACTGCCTCTGTAACTTTGAACTGGTTTAAGGTAGCCACTAACTCTTCATTATCTACTTCTTGAGTTTGAGTCATCGTCATTCGGCAAAATATTTTTCCAGCTTTTCTTTACTTGTTCTACAATTCTTCCAGCCAGTAAATCACATCTTTCAGATTAACTTTTTTTAGGCTTTTAACAACGTTTTTTGTTATTTCCCATATCTGTTAATAAATGTTTCAAGAGCTTGCTTCGGTAATTTCGTTTTAGCTTTTCTAAAACGCTTTTGTGCAAAGGCTGAATCGGGGATGTAATGTTAAGAGGTCAAAAAATATCGCAAATCTCTCCACTGACCAGCTGATAATCATAATTAGGATGACTGGGAGCATTGCCCAAAATTAATACCCCCTTATGGGGAAAATTATTTTCATCGTGAAATCGCTGAATACTTCATAAAATCTCTTCATGGAACCAGGACTTCAATACCGTTGAATCCATTCAAGTTTTTTTTTTTTTTTTTTTTTACTTTAAAGGGAGATTTTCCACTTTCACATTTTTAAGTGCCTTTGGTTTTTTTTTTTTTCCCCTTTTCTATTAGTAAAAGCTTATGCTTATTATCACCAGATTTGCTCGCACATGTCCAAACCTTTTCTTTACTTTCTTTGTAGCCGGGAGCTGGTTGTTCTTGTTTTGATGCTAGTGTCTTTCTCGGCAACATTTTAAAATTCAGCCCGTTTCGTCACAGCTATAAATTTGCTGTGGGTCCAGTTTGTTTTCCTGAACGATCTTATTCAATTCACTAACAAAGGAAATCACCGCACCTGAGCTAGCTGACAAAATCCCCCCTACAATGCTTAACTGTCGCAGGCCACATTGTGCTTTTTAGCGTTTAAAGTAACTTGGTGGTGCTGAATTCCTCTTCACAGCCTTTGCAACTCTGAAGCCCAAACCCATATTTGTTAATATCGGACAAGGTAGTGGACTTCCCATCTCTCTCACTTGCTGAAAGAATAAAAATAATGCTTCTGATATCTGTTTATAATCGTTATCTTTCATTTTTTTTTTTTTTTTTGTGTGTGTGTGTGTGTGTGTGTGTGTGACTTGTCATCTTCAGTCAGGTGTGCAGACAGAATCACCAATTTTTCAGTTTCCCTCCCTTTTCTTCTCCAGTCACCAACTGTTACTTCGCAAGCATCTCAACCACTACCAACATTCTGACTCTGGTGCAAAAACTAAAAAACCAACTGATTTTTCACTCAAAGCGAGCAAGAATCCAGGCTACTGAGTTCGAACGTGGTAACGATGGGATTCTTTTCAGTTTGAATTATTGCTAAAACCCAAGTATACAGATACCTTTCGAGCGAGGTTATTGTAGCGCCTTTTTTTTATTGGGTTCAGGTAACACAGCCTCGGTTAATCAGGTCAGGGTTCTACTATACTAAAAAATAAAGAAAACATTGGTAGAATTAAGATACTTGATGTTTGTTTGGCTTATATTATTTCATTTATAATTTTGCTTAAATATATAGCACATATAAGTAACTGACATTTATAAATTCAGACTTAATCTGATATATAGCTTTTTTGTCGTTACTGTTTGGTTTAGTTTATCTGAAACATGGTTTAAATGTGCTCTTTTCCACGACAAAAATGCAGAATTAATAATAAAGGCATTTTAAATTCAAAATATTGTGATTAAGCAGAGATGATATACTGTCAGTTGAAACCATCTTTCTCCTAATAACTGCCAATTACGTTGTTTTGAATTAATTTTGGAAAATTCTTTGCGTCAGTGTTGGTGTTTAGCCCATAGCGGCCGAGTAGTAAAGTCAGTGAACACTGGTAAGTTCGGTCTAGAATTTGAATCCCGGCGAACAGGCTCGCTGCATGAGTGTTTCGTGGTTTTTGCAATGTTTAACATGGATACAAGCCAGTTTCCTTAAATGTCTTCTACGAGGCGTCCTTTCCTTTGGCGAATACCCTTGTGGGAGTCGCCTTAATTAATAATAATAATAATAATAATAAATTGTTCGGGCTTTTAGTGCAATTATAGGTATTCATTCTCTTACATGCGTTCTTTAAATAGCTTGCAGTTTGTAAACTCAATTTCAATCTGGTTGGTATACCTGACAAATGTGTTTTACAGAAGTAAGTCCACACAATTTTCAGAAAAATTGCAGAAGCTGTTAGAAAATATCTAGTTTTGTAATGTAGTTCTTTGGGCACTGTTTTATTAACGTCATTGATTTGAATGCTGTTTCTTAATTTAGTATTACGCCTTTGTTTTCCGTTTTTCAGTAACGTTTTTAATTAGTTTTTGTCTCCTTATTTTATGGGAGTCAAAGCTAATCTTTTAAATAAAACAAAAAATGAGAAGAAAGTAAGAAAATTAATAATTTTTTACAATATATACATATATACTGCAAACATCTATTGTAAACCTTTACACATTGTATATATACGCAGCATAAATAATAGATCGAAAATGAGTAAATCTGATATTTTTGAAGACACAACTAGTTTCTTCATGCATGCTTCACGTTTTACTAGAATTTTATGTCATATTTATAATTAATTACGGATATCAATCAGTGCAGCAGTTCTCTAACTTTGAATCATTGCTTATTGAATAGTTTTATTAGATATATAATCTGTTTTTATTTTAACTTTCCTTTGTTATTTAATACTTCTGTAATAACACACTAATTTCTTTTATCCCATAAATTTCAGTTTCATTACAAGATTGATCATGGTCAACTTACATTCCTGCAATTGTTGAGTGAAAGAGCATCACAAAATATTACTTATCATTGCCGAAATTCAATTGCTTATTATGATGCAAAGCATAAATTTTTCAAAAGAGCTGTGAAACTTATGGCTTATAATGATCTTGAACTTTCTGCTGATGGAAACAAGCGCTTTGTGTATAGTTCGCCATTTGATGGATGTCAGGTAATATTTTCATTTAAAACAAATGCTCAATTAATGAAATTAACGTCAGCATAATTAAATTTATTTTATATTAATAGAATTATATGCTACTAGAAATATCATATCGTTCAAATTAAAAGAAATTTAAAATGGCTCTTTTATTTCGATTATTCGCATTTTATTTCGATATTTTATGGTTTTACTGAGCTGATATTTAAGCATTGCGAGAATTTTCTTAGATAATATGATCTGAAATTTTCAGTTCCTTTATATTTTCTTTTAAATTTTCTTAATATTTAAGTTTCTTCACAGTTCACAGACAAATCTATTAAAGAATGAAATAATTATGTTTTCCTATTACTTTTGAAGAAAAGAAATGAGTAGCCCATCTAGTCATCATCCCTTTATGATAATTTATTTTTCAAATAATTTTTAAAAAACGCTTTTATAGCTAAATATTTAGCTTTTATAAGCGAAGCTAATTAATTCAATATAGCAGATGTTATGATGTAAGTGTAATTTTATTGCATTAGTTGAACATCAGATTTGTTCAGATTAATTGTTTTGTTTTAGAAGATGCAGTTTTTTATTAACCATGTTTGTGTTGCCATAAATTATTTTATAATAAATTACATCATTTCATTTAGATCCTAAAATCGTATTTATGGCTTTATATTTAAGTTATACTGACATCTTTTATACTTTTCAACATTTATGTTAATGATCTCATCAAGAGATTGAAAGGAGTTGGAGGTATCCAAGTGAGCAGGTTTGCTGATGATCTAGTAATATGGATAGAAACTAGTAACTGCCGAAACTTATAAGAGACATAAACAGCAACTTGAGAGTAATATGAATAAATCTGTGAAGACCCTTCAATCTTGGGCCATGGTCACATGATTTTCAATAAATCAAAAATTATGTATAAGTTTTTTACCTTAAGACATATTATACCTAACATTGATTTGTATTTGGATAGCACAAAACTAAATGGAAGTAGCAGGAAAAATATCTTGGGTTATAATGGACAGTAAGTTAAATTTTTCAGAGCATAAGAGACACACTGTGATTCGAGTCAAAAAAAGATTGCCTATCTTAAAGCGACTGGCCGGCGCATAATGGGGCTGTGCCCAGGACACTCTAAATCTCACCTACAACACCTGTATAAAACTAGTTCTTAAATATGGCAGTGGAATTCTGGTTTCGACTGCACAGACCAAGTTGGAAGTCCTGGGTACAGCTCAGAATAAAGCTTTCCACTTGATCACAGGAACAGTAATGTCAACTCCGATAGCAGCTTTACAATCCTATATTTCAAACCCTCCGATTGCTGTTGAGATAAAGAAACAGGCAATTTATACAATTGCTAGACTAAAATTATCCCAACGGGCAAATTGGATGCAAAATAGACAAGCGGGCATCCTCAGAACTCAGATTTCTCTACTCGAGATTTGTGAAAGCCTTTTGGATGACTTAAACCTCAATATTCCTGTTGAAAATACTAATACACTTGTAGACCCGCTGGAGTTTTTGTAAATACTCTATAATTTAAAACTACATGAAAATAGAAAAAAGACACACTAGATATTATTCTAAAAACAAATGCCTTGTCACTAATGGACAATAACTATCCTGAACCAAAATGGATGCATGTATTTACAGATGGCTCCTAGAATGAATAACGCTGCTGGTGCAGGTGTACATGATAAACTGTTTTCACAGCATGCCCCAATAGGTCAACATTTTTCAAATTTTGATGCAGAAGTTTATGCAGTCTTTTTGGCTGCATCTAATTTCAAAAGTGGAATTGAATTTTTTATAAAGGCCGTCATTCTTGTTGATTCTAAGTCGGCCATAGAGGCAATAGCTCTTCAACACCACTTTCCTCTTGTGTAAAAATTAAACAAGATAGCAGGGAACTAAATAGGAACGATAAAACTGTAGAATTTCAGTAGCTATCATCCCATGTAGATATTGATCTCTTGGCAAAAAGGGGTAAAAAGTTGTTTATTGAACAGGGTTCCATTCCTTTGGATTCCCTTAGTAGAAATATTTGAGAGAATTTTATATAAGCTTACAACACAAAACTATAAATTAAATCGAAACCCTGGGAGAATATCAGGAATGACTGGAACGAGTTCAGTTGCAGGCCATGTAGAGAGACTGTGGTTAATTTCAGACTGGGTACAGGACACGACTGCTTAGCCGAACATCTCAGCAGAATAGGCATATTGACTAATAGCCAATACCATATTTGTGAAACAAAGACTGTAAATAAGTAGCACTTGCTTGCCTGTCCAGATCGCATATAAGCATTCTGTACCGCGCCACGCGCATAGGGAAATATCCATACTTGTAATTGGACATACTTTCCGATGACATCATTTTCTCTTGGTGTAATGACGTTTAGGCGGAATTCTTACAGTTTTGGTTTTGTTGAATGATGCACATGAGTGATACGGAAGCATGAGCATTATCATTTGCATTCTTTGAATAATAATGCCAGACGTAAACACTGACATGCAGCCTTCTCCAGATGGCATCATGTTTATGGAACGATAAAATTATGAAATCCTTCAAAGATGCTGTTAATATATCAGAAGCAGTCTCAAATGCTTAGATTATATAAATAACTGAGTTCATAAATTTAGTGCAATAAGCAAAACACAGTAGATTACACGACGATCTCGACTCAGATGTAAGGCATATGTCTTAGTAAGTATATTATTATTGAAATTTTGTTGAATTCTGTTCCTTTTAAAATTGCAGAAAATATTTCTTTTGCAACTGTATAAGTTATTTCTATGTTAATGTCCATGTTTTTCACACTTCTAATATTCTGTTGACTTAAATGAAAGAAAAAAGGGCATTCAGTATATCCGCTGAATACACGTGCATAAGAAACTTTCTTCTCTGATAAACACTATTTTTATACAAAGGTACAAAAGACATTACACATTAAAAAATGAACAATATTTATAAAGCACATATTTATGGGAAATATTCAATTTATATATAGTTATCTCTATTTCTGTGTTCCAAATCTATAGTAGTCTAACTTCAAAAATAAATTTTACTTTTTCAGACTGACTACAAATATCGTGAATTTACTGTGTATTATGTTAGCTCCCAACGTTTTGCTGTTTGCGAAAATTGACTTGTCTCCTGTTTTCGGAGATTGCATCTGTAAATTATCTATATTTAATGAACATGAAACAATGAATTAATAATCACAAACCCTTTAATATGAAGGCTTTTAAATTAAGAATACATTTATTAAAAACCTCTGAATATAATATTAATACACATTTACGGAGTTAGCACACTAGAAAAAATACTGACTTTCGTCTCTATGGAAAAAAAAAGCACTACATTATTTATATTAAATTCATCATACTATAGTGCCGTAATAAAAGTAATCCGCAATAAAAATTCAGCGCACATCATTAACTATAACAATCTTTTCGGTACTGCTATCAAAATGTAAATAAATGGTATGGAGGTGTATTTTCGAGCCCAAACAAAGGCGTTCCTAAGCGTAGAGAAAATGATGTCATCGGAAGCCGTATCCAGTCGCAAAGATGGATTTTCCCCTATGCGTGTGGCGCGGTACAAAATGCTTATATGCGTCCGGATCTTGAAACTAAGTTACATTATGGTGACGGTTTCCTGCTGTATTGGATGGCCAGGGATCTTATGTCTTGTGCACACGGTTACTTTGCCACTAATCATTGAAGATTTTTAAGATTTTAATCGTGAAACTTATATGTCTTAGTTTTTTGGTATTGTAAAGATTTGAGTCTTAATGCTGTAATTTTTAAGTGTTTTTAATATTTTGGTAATGTAATTTTGAAAATACTGTTTTGTTTTTGGTGAGCGGCCTGATGTAAATGGATTGATTTCTGAATAAAGCCATAAGAAACATCAGCAACAAATCTTTTATCTTTTCCAGTAGAAGAATGTGTGACATTTAACTCATTATTTCTTATTATTTGGATATACGCTATAGGGAAAGTAGTTATTTAAAGTAATAAAATCGCGATCTTTAGAAACTTTTGTAATAAGATGTCTGTGCTGCTATATAAATCAATAAAATGTTTCTGCTAGAAAGCTGGATGCTTTATACATACTACAAAGAGTAAAATTTATGTTATAATAAAAATCATGTGTCTTAGAGGTAATATTGCTTTAGAATTTCATAATAAAGTGCATTTCAAAATAATTATTTTTATGACACTGTTGTATTTAAGAATAATTAAAATTGTAAACACAAATGTATTTAAGATTATGGTAATTTTATCTGCATAGATGTAATAATAATTACTGATGCTTTATCTAAGTGAAAGTAATATTGAATATCCAAGTAATTTAAGATAATTTTCCAGCATTTTATGTCATCTTTTGTAATATTACGGTTACTTCATGTTTGTTTTCTTTCTTTTCAGTCTCGAAGTGATGATTGGTCATATTCCATATTAAGTTATACAACTGACAAGCCTCAGAGGTTGCCTATCATGGACATTGCACCTCGAGATGTTGGTTTGAATAATCAAGAATTTGGTATTAGCATCGGACAAGCATGTTTTGTGTGAACTCTGAACTTTCTGTATCAAATCTGTGTGATAAAGTTTTCTTATGACTAGTTTAAATGAAATGAATTACCATACCTACTGAAAGAAGTCTTTCGTGTTATTGAACAACTAAATAACTTTATCAGTATTTAATACTAAATACGTTTTCATGAAATTTTAAAGTTGGGCTCAACCTTTTTCTCTGCCATTGACCAGAAATACATGGAGCATTCTGCATCCAATATTTTTTATGTATAATATGTTGCACTGCCATTTTAAATGTATTTATGAACATTTTAATAGAAGAATAAAAATACTGAAAGAGAATTTGTCTCATTTTATTTATTTTCAACCTGTTTTTCAATATATTTAATTCTTCACTTTTATTTGTAGAATACTAAATTTCTCAGTGAGAATAATCTTGGTGAAATTCCTCAATGAAATAGTTATATCTCAGTGAGAGAAACTAACATTTCACTGAGAAGACGAACTCAAATTTTTATTTTTCTGCTTTTTTAAACCTGTTTTAGAAGAATTTTTGAATCTGTGTAAAATGTTATAAATGTGTTTATTAATGGCATAAAATATGAACAGTGTATAATAGAACAACTCATATATACATCTGATTATTTTTATGCATTAAAAACCTTTATTGAAATTTTTATTTCTAAAATACCGGCTTTCTGTTACAAAAATCAAGTGTAGTAAAATTATGTGCTTTGATACACTTTAAATAATTTAAGAAAATATAAAATGAAATTATTCATTTTATTTTATGTATTTATCATAAATTCGTACTGTAGAAACTAAGTTATTCAAACTTAGCTCTTTTACTAGTTTCATAATTTAATCTGTTAGAACAACTTCTTTATTAGCGTCTTCTTAGCATAAATGTAGATTATAGCTATCAGAAAATCTTGTAATTAAATGATTGTTAGGTACAGTAGAGCCTCAATAGTCCGAACCGGCTAAAGCAAGAATGAAAATTTTATGGAATTAGGCATGCGCGTTTAGAACACTCCAGAGCCCAAACTAGATTTTTCTTTGGGTTTTGAGGCAAAACAGAAGGTTTAGGAAAAACGAAAAATATACTTTTGCCCCAGTACTGTTGCACATAATTACATTTCTTTTATACATATATACTTACATAAGTTGATAGATATGTGTTTACATATATGTGTTCAAGTATGCATGCTCACAATGTCTCAGTCCCACAGGATCTAAACCCACACTAGGACTTACTTACTAACGCCCTTGTTTCATACGCATAGAGGTCATGAAAACTTTGCACATTTTATGCCTAAATTTCTAATTTCCTTTTCGAAATTTTCAGTCATAATTCCTGAGCGTAAATAGTATATTTTGTCTATTCAATCAAAATAGAAATCCTAGAAATCTTTAAGAAAGTTGTGAGTGGCGATCAATGGCAGACGAATATGGCGTGGCTCGATCCATGATTTCGGATATATAGAATTCAGAAAGGCGGTTCGAAAGCTATGACAACAATCTTATTATTTCTGAATGTGGAGCAACAAACTGAGAATCTATAAAATCAGCCACAAATATTAAATGTAGAGACTACCCTTTTTATGTGATTTTGTTCAGCAATGCATTTCAAAAGATGCAATATGAATAACAGGGGAAATTCTTTAACAGAAAGCTCGTATCTCTGCTCAACGCTTAGGAGATATCTCCCAAACTCTGAACAAAAATAATGCAAGATAAGTTTAAGTATTACCATATCGAAGCCTATGCATAAACATAAGCCTGATAGAATTTCACAATGAAAGATTGTTCCCAGAGTCAGTGCATAGTCCTTAGTTTAGTTAAAATCAAAATTACTGTTCAATAAGAAAGACCTATTCTACAATGGAGAACTGTTTTACAAAAGTCTGTCTCAAAATCACTTGTATCCAAGATAGAAGAGAAACTTCTGGGTTACAAGATTAGTAAAGAAACAGCCTCCATTTTAACATGTTTAAAGTCATTTGAAATATATTGATTGCAAGTTATGATGATGATATTTATCTTGAACAAGATTTATAGAACCTTCAACAAGTCTGATCGAAATTTGCAGCTTATTTTTCTACATCAAATGTAACCTGATTCAACCGTTTGATCAAAGTGTTGTCGAATCTTTTAAGTGACTTTATCGTAAGGAACGTCTCACTAATTTTATCTTTAATGGTGATAACCAAATGGAATCCACTTTAAGAAGATAAATCTCAAGCATTTTGTTTACGTATTGCCTAAAACTTGAATTGATATGAAACCAATTACCTTTGGGAATTTCTGAAATAATATACTCAGAAGACCACCTGTTTCAAGATAAAAAAAACTCGGCCATTAACATCGCGGTAGAAGTTCTACGGAAGCAAATGCCAAACTCTCAATCTGTGAAAACTATGTCTTGGAAGAAAGAATGATCAAAGATTAATGGTACCGATACTTGATACTAAGTTCTAATCGTGGATCAAATTGTTAAATTTATCATTCATGAAATGATAGCGATGAAGAAAAGTAACTGAAACTGAACCATCTCATTCCGAATCTTACAATGCAGTTCATTTCAGTATTGCCAGAAATTCTTGAGCTAAAGTAACAAGAGAAGAATCGAAAAGTCGCAAAGAAGAGTACGTGACGTCAGAAATCGTGATTTTGGTGAAGTCATAGGTGCGTAAGTTCACATGACTTCTGACGTCATCAAGCAGTCAGTCTTCGAGGACTCCATAAGTTAGGGATTGTAATTAGATGTTTGGTCATTATATTACGTATATTAGTTTTGAAGAAGTTTTTGAAACTGGATTGCTAATTTCCCATTGTTTAAATATCTATGCTGTATTTTAATTAATTCTCAGTTAATTTAGGTTGATTTATTTTGGTTAATTTATTCGTATTCATTATTAGGTGCTTTCTCACGTTTAGATTGTTAATATTGTTGTACTAATTCTTTTTTGAGTTGGCAGTTTATTTTTTTCATTCATTATTGCTTGCTTTACTTTCACTGTTAATGCTTTTCAGTTAACAATATGTTCTCATTGTTGAAATTATTTCATTTCAAACAGATTCTGATTGCTAATAAAATGCTTTCCCTTTTTACTATTGATTTTGTGTGTGTGTGTGTGTGTTTTTATTTAGAATCTCAGGTTGTTTTGATTTTTAGTCATTCCAATTGTTTAGTTCACAGCAATCTTGTAAAGAGAATAAATTTCAAATATTCGGTGCACGAGCCACAATCAATTGTTTTGGAGCTGATGAATAGAGCAAAAATCTACAATGTTAGTATTAAACATGCATAATTTTTCTTTGCATTATGCTAGTATTTTTTCTTTAATTACTGTTATACTTTTATGGAGTTGGCCCATCTATCAGCAACACAATACAATCTGTGGTCCATGAGTTCAAAGAAACATTTTAAATCGTCTTTTACAAAAAACTGAGTATAGTTCAAATTTTACAATTGTTTTGGTATTCCTTTTTGAAATTATACATATCATCGGTATTTTGGGAATTGTTTTTTTAGGCTTTAAGTTTGTTTAAGCTGAAATTAGCAGGGTAAAGGGAAAAATTACTTAAATTTTTAATTATTACTAAATCAATAAAAACAATTACTTACTATATACTAAGTCAAATTGATCCTTAAAGCTATATACTGATTTTTTGTACGGAATTTTAATAAGGTTAAAAAGTGTAAAGAAATGATTTCTTGGAACTGTGTAGATACACTGCGATAGTAATTTCAATTATGAACAAACATAAAATAAGAGATGAATCTTAGCTTTTAAAATTTTGATTCTATTTATTCAGGCTAAACATACCAGTATTTAGAAAGCTTTTCTCTTTTAAGAATGAACACACTATAAGACAACAATCTGTTTTCAAACAGAAAATTTTGTTTATTCTTTGAAGATACACTGTATTTCATTTAATCAATTTCATTTGACGCTAGTTTGCATCTATGCGACTTGCAATAAGTTTTTGTGTTGTTTGTTTTCATTCTTTTTGCCAATTCTCAAACATGGATATTGTAAACCAAGTATTATGAAAGGTGGTGCGGAATTTTTTTCATGTTATTCCTAATTTACATTTTAGTTAACACAGCATATAATCTGACCTTGGAACTTTGGAATCCTACTCATTGATCATCGAAACTAAAGTATCAAGGAAGCACACGAAAATACCAACTACTAATGGTAGTTACTGAGTGCATATGCACTCATGGGCTACGGTCGCTTCTTACTGATAGATTGCTTTTACTTTAAAGCCTAAATAAATTAGTACTTTATATTATGAATTAATTTTCATATATACATCACATAAACATATACGAATTTTATGGTATATTAAAAAATAAGCAGCAAACATTATCACAAGAAATTCGCAGAACCAATATGTAGTGATATGTAGTCCAGTGGGTTTGCGAATTCTAAAAATATTGCAGAATATTCATAGTTTTAAATTTCAAAATTTAACGAAGTAAATCTAAATAACCTCCAGTTTTAAGCATTATATTTAATGAATTTATTTTTGTTAACAGGATTAAAAAGGGTGATTAGATGCTTTATTCAGCTCTGAAATATTTTTATAAGGAAGATCTTCCAATATGTATATTTTCTCATTTAGAATTACATAACACTAAAAAAATTAACTGCTAATATTCTGTAGATAAACAGTTAAAAATTGTAAAAATAACTAAATTGGCTATTTGGCAATTTTCAAAATTCAGTTTTGAAATTTGAAAAATCACTAAATTGATCGATTCATGAAAAAAAAAAAAAAAAAAAAAAATTAAAGCACTCAATGAAGGAATAATAAACGAAAGCTATATATTTTGGTAGCCATTGCATTGTAAATTAAAATGAAAAATTCAATAGAATGATGAAAATTTAATCTTTAAAATGTTAGGCCAGAATAGAGGAAACTATTGAAATCATTTTACTGTAGAAAGTTATCTCATACTGTATAATTTTAACGCCATACACCTTTATGTGATAATAATTAGGCTGGTCGCAAACTGAATATATGGCTCAGATGAGATGCAGTAAGTCATGAAAATAGTAATCTATTTTACAATAGCAATCTAACTGCAATTAGAAAAATGGGTCGGAAATTTTAGGAAATTTCTGACTCATTTTTCATTTCATTTCCGACTCAGTCCGAAATTTTATAAATGCAAGAATGCAGGAGACTGTCGAAAAAATCGCTGAGCACAAGTAGTTCGACATGGGTGCAAATCACGGCAAACGCACTGATTATGTTATAGGGGACGTTTCGTACTTTTACGCATGAGTAACGTGAATCCAAGCCATGTAACACATCTGTCATCA